CTTAATTACTTCAATTTATATTATGTTATTATTTTTATAACTATAAAAATTATAATTATAATAAGTATTAGTAGTAAAACTACTGTTATTATCAAAAAAAAACATGTGTCCATCCCTCATGATAGATATAATAAAGTATTGAAAAGTAGTATAGTTATGATAACAGAAAGAGAAGGAATGTGAGCTTGAAGTAAAGGAGAAAGAGCTTGATTAGTATTAAAGTAAAATAGTAGAATATTTATAACTAAATAAAGAGAGAGATTATTAAACAAACTCAACAACTCAAATCTCAGGAAAGGAAGAAATATACTGTATATGAGTACTAGCATACTAGAAACATAGAGATAGTGTGAGAGTGGAGAGAGTAGGGGGGAAATAGTAGAATATAAGTAAATAATCCTAAGTTACTATAATAAGCCTGTTCCTGTAGATAAAAACACAAATTTTATTAGTAAATAAACTTTATATAACTAATAGAGTAGAATCACCTTTGTTTCCTATCCAATTAAGTCTAGATTGAAATGAAGCTGAGTTTGTGTACTGAGAATATGCACTTAGATACAGTGGGCAAATTTCTTTCCCACGGGTGGCCCACATGTGGGTCTGACGCGTCGAAGCACAACTTTTGGATTGTCATTTTATAAAATCAATGAAATATTTATTTTTCAGTTTTTTACAAAAATAAAACGAACGTTTTTTAGATAAGATGTTGTAATATATAATTATATATTTTTTATGTTGTAAAACAGTTGTAGTAGTCAATAATATGAGAAATGGCATTAAATGGCCCACATGGGGCGCCGCGACAGTAAGGTTCGTCGGATCTCAGTGACTTTTTCTCTCCGGGAAGTCCGCGACATTAGAAGTGGCATTGCGTTCTATTATTCAATGCATACAATATGGGCGCCCATGGAGTGTTGGTAAGTCTATAAATGTATACTTGCGAAGACTGTATGTATGTTCAATGAACATGAAGAAGTTCGATATCTCACTCCTGTTTCTCTACGTCCGTTGCTCTATCTGCCTCAAGGCCGGTGCTCTCCGTGTCTACGTTAAAGGGTGTTATATATAGTCTAATCTAGTGCAGGCATCGTCCAATAATACGGAGACTCGGAATCTTATACCAGGAGAGGACCTGTCCGATCTTCTTATTTTCTAAGACTCATCTCGGCGCCATCAATAATTCGAAAGTTCCCATTCAGCGCTCTCCTCTCTGGTTCTGATAGCTTGTCCCGGACCGAGTGGTAGAGTAAATGCAGGTCCTCGGATTTGGAGTATATCCATATCGGAGTGTGGTTTGCCACACCGAAGGTTAACTATAAAACTTCATACTTAGTATAAGCATAAGAGAACATCTATACATTCGTGTTATTTTAAGTCCTAGTCTTCGTTGATAGGCCTGATAATCATGTCTTTTTAGCTCGCAAAGCTTTCTGAAGTATTCCCCCACGGCAGAAGTTACCTTTGTCTACTTCATTGTAGAAAAGATTATTAATCTAATAATTCACTCGTTAGTATAAGGCATGAAGATAGAAGCAAGTAAGAAATTTATAATAGCTGAGGTCGTTCCCCAGTGAAAGCTGCTCCGTATATGTAGTGTGTGTTATTAAATCTGCTTTTGGTTTATTTTAATTTTACTTTGGTCTTATTTTTTTGTTTATGTTTACATTTTCTTTCTCAAATAGCACTTAGCATTGAGATACTGCTACGTCTTACTTTCACTACTTTTCTGATTAAGTATCAGCTGTCTGGACTCTGCAATCACCTTGGAATAACTCTGCCTAGATGATGAGAAAGCCGTGGGTATTACTACACAAAACACTGCAATAATATTATCCGGCTTGCATTTAGATTATAAGGTTTCATGCAGAAGCCCGTCAGGCTTCTCATGAACAGAGATATGCAAAGCGCGGTAGCTTAAAGGCACTCCGTCGTTCTCCCATCCTAGACATTGAATAGCCTCCGTGTAGGAGGCGTCTGCACCTCGTCTTCTGTTACCCACGTTATCTCCCAACGGAGTTTGCCCGGCTCGAGGTAAACTGCGGCCGACCTGAGTGAGGGCCTCCTTACCTCTGTGCATCCCTCCCTCGATAAGACCCGTGAAGAGCGAAGCGCGGGCGGTGAAAGTGTTTCGGTCCCTTGGCCGAAAGAACTAGTCCGTTGTCTAACACTGAGGCGATTATTTGCTTCCGACTCAGTCTACGCGATGGCAGATGCACGTTCGCAAGCGAGCCTTGAGAATGCGGGGCAGGGGTACTGGGTGTGGGCCGATGTGACAGAGACGGCATAGGAATTTCACAACCTCCTTGCCGAAGATAGCTTCTGGCGCGCCTTGGTACGCGTAGGAAAGTGGGGGAATTTCTCCTCCATTCTATCGTGTGAGAACATAGCAACCGAAAAGCGGCGGATGATTCTCTACGTCTATTGCAAAGAAATATCGTGGAGAAAGACCGGCGGCGTCATGAGGAAACATTATGCAGTGGTGCGTCATATGCTTTGTGGGGCGGGCATCGCATATCGCATAACGAAAGGGCACGGAGGCAAAAGCAAGGTAAAACGAAGACAGAGCGTTGGAACAGTAAGGCTAGTGACAGGTGACAGTCTCGAGCTCAAAGCCTGCCGTCGTAGGAAGAGGAGACTTGGTCGCCCGGATAGAGGTTCCTATGCATGCATCAATTCGCGTTCATCCGGGCGGGAATGTCCTGAGCGTCAGGTCCGACAATCTCGGGGAATATATTCGACATGCGGATGTCTTCTGGTCGGAGTGCGGATGCCAGATCATATTTACTAGACTAGAGACATCACGAGAGAAATCGATGTACAGCAGACTTTTCATCTCCTTCCGTGGTCCCAAATTCGTCCTAGATTCGTCGTTATTAAGAGAGGGTCCTCCGGATCGGAATTCTTGCATTGTCAACTGTAGAGAGAACGTGACTGATTGTTTGAGTTGAATCTTTGAGACGTTTCTATGGCGGAGTTCCGTTTTATCTGCATATTGAAACGATCGAGGATCCGCCGCAGTCTTCTTGAGTAAAAGCTACAGGTTCCATTCGCACCCTTTGAAAGTTTTGACTTGACAAGTTTCCACAATCCTAAGCGCAAAAAGACCGCCATTTACATTTGCAATGGCATGAGAACATAATGAATATTGTGCGTCCGAGCCGAGACGATTGTACAGAGACGACATCTCGCCGTTGAACTCTGGTCAGGTTGAGGAATTTTACCGAGCACGTGATGCCTGTTCCTCGACGCTCTGACAGAGCGTCTCTTCTCTTGGATCTCGGTCTCTGCGTTCATTCCATTTCCACGGCAATTCCACCTTTTCCCAAAGGCTGAAGCATTTAGCTCGCCCTAGGCGATTGTAGAGGCGACGTATAGACACTCATCAACGCTGCGGAGGGAAAGAAATGCAGGGTCGCTCGACACTGAATGCCGGTGCTAATTGCATTCAACACCGTGTTCACAAATAACCTCTAAATGAACAGCGGAACAATCTTTCTTTCGCCTGGCCTGGGTGGCCAAGAAAGAATATCAACCCAGAATACCGTGAGTAGGCAGTGGTTACGCTTCCGGACCAATTCTGTGCATGCATTCTGGTCACAGGACTGATCTTCGTCGAAGTCGCAGTCGCACTCTCACAAACCAGCAAGTCATCTGGCCTCTCCGGTACAACGCTTCTCCAAACCTCAGCTTGGATACAATTCTTAGCTACGGATATCGTGACCGATATGCGATCATTATTTGCCGTCAACAAGCAGTGTAATATGGTCCTCTGTCTCGCCCTGAACCTACTCTTGTCGTCACTAGTCATCGAGATGCATTTGGATCAAGTATCTGTGGGCATGTGTTGTGCATCTCAAATCTGCTGAACTATTCAAGCGAGAAGTTGATCTCACGGCGCCGTTCGCGCATACTCTCTACTGGCATGTACGTTTAGTCCCCTGTGCTGAATTTATGTACTGTCCCATGAGGCTCCGAGTGGGTCTTCTAGGCCACAATCCTGGGTGCGCGGCAACCGGGACTCTGCATTTAGGAGCAGTCAGATGGTTCATGAATGATTAGGCGATGATCGAAGCATATTCTAAACTCTCGAAAACGAACATCTGCTCTGGAGTAATTTATGTCAACACTGCAGGTAACATCAAAGGGGGGCATCTCAAGCTCGGTTGTTCCTGGGATTGCAGCACATAATCTGCAACAAGCTTTGAGACAACACGAGCAGAGCAGGTTTTCGTTGTCGCGAAACGTGTGCTCCCAGGTTCAGCTTCGAGAAGGTTGCTTGGGCGCCTCGTCCATTTTTACCCCGCAATATTATTGTGGAGAAAACGCGCCCAAGAAGGCCCACGGGACTTGCATTCCCGATTGGGCTTGCTTATCTCCCTAGGAGTGATGTCCAATTACATATTCCATGAACCTCCGATTTTCACAAATTCGAAGCTTACAGCCCGTGTTTTACGTTTGCCATGCTACTCGCCTCACTTCTGGTCTATGCTTTCTTTCTTTAAGAATATCGAAAGACCCGTTTGTTTTGTCATTCGTTCGCATCTGACGGTCGCATAAAACAGGATAGAATGGACTGCAGTTGGAGATGCTAGTTTGTCACATCTTGAGTCAATCTTGGGTTCGAACAGCATTGTGGTTATTTCGGCGACTGGATTTATGGACGAGCGCTCCGGATCTCAATTTGTAGTTATTCGTTTAAGTCGCGAAATTACGGCTTCACTATGCGAACGAAATTTCAGCAGAGGGTGAGCTCCTGACCAGCTGATACGCTTACACTGAACTTCTTACCCTCTTCTCCAATACAGATGTATCATTCCCTGCAGTGCAGCAGCATAGAGTCCGAGAGTCGCTCCAATGCCGGTATGTCATCTTTAAGCACGAACTAGAACTGCTCCGAATCTTTCGCATGACCTATTTGCGCTACTCAATGGCCTTTCTATCCACATGTGATCCCACGGACCGTTTCATCCTTGCGATCCCACTGGTTGAATGATCGGACAGTGAAGCCTTGGCTCCCATTGAACTGATAAGAGGGTTCATACATCGAATACTTTATAAAAAGGGTCCCGACTTCCGGGCTTCGTCAGGTTCTCTTGAGCCTTCATTCTCATCTACTTCTCATACTCTTGTTCCGTCACCAACTCTAGTCCTTGACAGTCATGGTGCAGCCTCAGGAGGTTGATGTCATCGTTTGCGGGTATGTCTCACCATGCCCCGTATGCTTTACACTGACTGACTCCGCTTTAGTGGTGGTCCTGCAGGTGTGTATGATGCCTGACATAGTGCGCTCGGTTCTCATGAAATTGTTCAGGATGCGTCGTCGCGGGACGCCTGGCGTATGCCGATCCGTCGCTTCAGGTCATGTTGATTGAAGGTACTCGTACATTGCCACGATGTAGAGGATTCACTTTGACAGCAGAATCTTTCCAGGTGGAAACAACAACCGCGATGACCCATGGGTATATCGGTGCGTCAATCCGGATGATAGATTTGTGACGGATCCTAACATATTCGTACCTCAGGCCGGGTATCTATGTTAGGAATATGCAGAGGGATGGAGTGTAAGTCCCCATCCCTCAAAGTTACTATGGTGTCACTTACGAATTGGTTAATATTTCAGCAATGACAAGGCGACTTTCTATACCGACACGATGCAGTCGTCCCACCTTCGTGGCCGTCAGAGCATTGTCCCGTCAGTATTTTTTATTAATCACTTAATTGCTTCGGTTTATTGACGGTCTTTGTAGTTGCGCAAACATTCTTGGTATGTTACAAAGTAACTATGCGGAGTTAGCCCGCTGATTTTGTTGTAGGCGGTGGCAGCAGTATTAACTTCCAGGTTCGTACGACATTGATGTCATTTGCACTGCTTTCTAACGATCCTCCGTGAATTTTATGTGCTTTAGATGTACACGAGGGTAAGCTGTATCCTATTTTTGACGTGCGCTTAAGATGCTTATAAGTAACATAGGCGTCTGCATCCGATTGGGGTGAGATGCTAATGGTCTAATTTGATGCACTGACGTCTCAATTTTATGCAGATGATTTCAAGACTGAGGGCTGGACCGCAAATGGTTTGTAATATCTTTTGGACCTTTTGAATTACTACTGAAAATGGCACAGACCTCAAGCCTTTGATGAAACGTGTATGTATTTTGTTCACGGAAGCAATTGACGCGTGTAAATTCAATTGAGGATCTGACTCTTCCATTACTTGAAGCTCGAGAACTATCAGAAGCCCTGCAACAATGATACTCACGGTTACGACGGACCCATCGCAATTAGCAATGGTGGACAGATCACTGCACTTGCTCATGACTTCCTCCGCGCTTCGGATGCTATTGGAGTTCCATTCAGCGGTACGTGCCGCTTACATCTCTGTCTATGGCCATGACTGATTTGCCTTTTCATAGATGATATTCAAGGTATTGACCAATATGTTTGTTGTTTGCATCGTCTTTAACGGATCGATCTTTTAGACTTGAACACGGCCCACGCCTCGGAAATTTGGGCGAAATACGTCAACAGGTATACCGGCAGACGTAGCGATGCCGCGACTGGTAAGGGATGAGTGTATGGTCATGAATAGATGTATACCGACCTCCTTCACACAGCTTATGTCCACAGTGTTATGGATGTGCAGACGAACTTGCACCTCCGGACAAACTCAAAAGTCTCCAGAGTCATCTTTGAGGGTAACAAGGCTGTCGGAGTCGCCTATGTTCACGCTAGGAACCGCGCCCACAAGGGTGAACTTCGTGAGACGATCGTTCGTGCAAGGAAGATGGTTGTGTTGAGCTCTGGCACGCTCGGCACTCCTCAGATCCTTGAGCGTTCTGGTGTTGGTAACTCTAAACTTCTCAAGGAGTTGGACATCAAGGTCGTGAGTGACCTTCCGGGAGTAGGGTGCGTAATTGCTTTTCATCCCAACTTCGTTTGCTAAACTTTTCATTCCATAGGGAGGAATATCAGGACCACTACACGACGTTGTCGGGTATGTTCGCGCTATGTCTGTGCTGTTCTCTTACTGATACTTTTAATTTAGTTTACCGCGCCTCGAACGAGACCTTCACTACGGACGACTTCCTGAGGGGCGACAAAGCGACTCAGGAAAAGGTAAAGCTGCTATTAAGCAAAACGACTGTAAAGCTGATGCATTGTCTTGCATTTCTAATCAGTTGTTCGCTCAATGGGAGACTACTCCCGAAAAGGCCGTCCTTTCTTCCAACCACATCGATGCCGGCTTCAAGGTGCGTTTCGCAGGTTCATTTTTGTCATGAGCTTATTTCGAATCCAACAATCCGTAGATTCGTCCGACTGAGGAAGAGCTCAAAGAGATGGGCCCTGAGTTCAATGAACTCTGGAACCGTTACTTTAAGGATAAGCCAGACAAGCCAGTCATGTAAGTCGCTGCTACTCTGTCGTTATTATACAGATGACACTTACTAGCCGTCGATAAAGGTTTGGCTCGATTGTCTCCGGAGCCTATGCTGACCACTCCCTGTTGCCGCCTGGGAAGTACTTCACTATGTTCCAATATCTGGTAAAGGATCCTGAAATAAGTCGGGCAGTTCATTAGCTCACGATTCATTAGGAATACCCAGCCAGCCGTGGAAAGATCCATATCCAGTCGACGAACCCTTACAAGGATCCATTCTTCGACAGCGGTTTCATGAACAACAAGGCTGACTTCGCTCCAATCCGCTGGAGTTACAAGAAGACTCGTGAAGTTGCCAGGAGGATGGATGGTGCGTCTGTACTGAGACTGACTGGCTCTAAATAACTAATCCATGACTCCGTCGATAGCATTCCGTGGTGAACTCACTTCGCACCACCCCCACTTCCACCCAGCTTCTCCGGCTGCGGCAAGGGACATTGACATCAAGACTGCAAAGCAGCTACTTCCTGACGGGTTGACAGTCGGCATTCACATGGGTTAGTTTTTCCGCCTCTACTCAAGACCATGCATGTTTCTGAACAAGCATAGGTACCTGGCACCGCCCATCTGAGCCTTATGATGCGAGCAAGGTTCATGAGGATATCAAGTACACCGAGGAAGATGACAAGGCCATCGATGACTGGGTCGCTGGTATGGTATCGTCCATCTCATGTTTTATCTCATCTCTTACCCCGTGCTGTGTAGACCACGTCGAGACGACATGGCACTCTCTCGGTACTTGCGCCATGAAGCCACGTGAGCAAGGTGGTGTCGTCGACAAGCGCCTCAATGTCTATGGCACCCAGAACTTGAAGTGTGTTGACTTGAGTATCTGCCCGGTATGACTATATGCTAGTGAAATGTACTACCCGCACTTGCTAATGATTATATATTAGGATAACCTTGGGACGAACACGTACTCTTCTGCTCTGCTGGTTGGTGAGAAGGGTGCTGACCTCATCGCTGAGGATCTTGGTGCGTCTTTCCTGCTAGATACAAGTAGCTGGATGAATGCTTTTGCTAACATCACGCAATAAATTCAGGCCTCAAGCTCAGGCTCCCTCATGCTCCGGTTCCTCACGCGCCTGTCCCGTCTGGCAAGCCCGAGACGATTGCGCCCCGCCTGCGCTAAATTAATCGCGCGAATTCAGAGTTGCTTTGGATAAACGTTTTGCGTAAAACTTCGGTTTTCAAACTCAAACGATTTGGTCAATCCTCTATGTACGAATATCCTTGATTTCACCGCCTCTGTCTCCTCCCCACCGCCAGTTTCGAATAAAGGCTGCGTTTCTCTACTTATTATGCCCTTGTACAAGTAAAAATTATGATGTGAAATCGTGATTTGTGTTCAATCTATCATCGTCTGACCGATGTTCATTGCGTGTCTCAAATGAATCAATCAAACATTTTAGATCTCTGCTAATCTGGAGACATTGCTAGTCCGTTTAGCGTATTCGAGTAAAGCGACTAAACTCGCGGGCGTCATTCCTTCCATCCTCTTCGCTGAGCCCTACATCAAAGTTCGCACTTAGATAAGGAACCGTGTTATGATCATTTAGCGAGTACTCACAAGACTTGTCGGTCGTAATTGACCAAGCCGTTCGCGTACCTCCGAACTGAGACCTTCAATGTTGTCGTAGTCTAAGCTTGGACTTAGATTGAGCTCTTCGTCTTCCAGAAAGACCTTGAGATCTGCTTCTTGTCTCGCCAAGTGGGGTTCGTAGCGAGCTAAGAGCTGCAGTCAGCAATGCTTGACGAAACGTGCACGGAAACAGAACATATTTGCCTTCAATCTCTGCGCGATCTAGTATTCGTCGGTCAAGCGTGTTCAGCTGGGGAAAGATCTCCAGTAGCTTGTCCATTGTTACCTTAGGCATTCTGATCATATGAAATGCACTAATGGCTCTTCAGTGCGTTATGCTCGGCGAATGAATGTGGAAGCAAGTTTACCTTCGCCATAGACCGTCTTGTGTGACGTGGAGCCCATTAGCAATCCATCCCTGGAGAAAAATATGAGCAAAGGTGGGCTAAACGGAGCACGTGAAGCAACCACTTACCTGTGGTGTCATTTCACACGACTTTAGCATGGCAATGGCGTTTTCAAGTTTCCGTTCGGTACTCTTCAGCTCGTTCCACCGCTCATTTGAGACGATGCCAACTTCTCGGCCCTTAGGTGTTAGTCGCAGGTCAGCGTTGTCGCTACGTAACGTCATTCTGTACTCGGAACGTGACGTGAACATTCGATCTGTAGAGTCAGGTGCGTCTCAAAATGATGTATGCTACAAAGAAGTCGGAAAAAGACGGACATGGCTCTTCTGCACCTTTCAAGATAAGGTCGTCAATCAGGACACCGATGAAGCCATCCGCACGGGTCAGAACCAAAGGAGGTCGGCGTTGAGAGGCTAAACCTGCGTTCACACCAGCTATCACGCCTTGTGCAGCTGCTTCTTCATATCCAGTAGTTCCTATAAGGACATGGTGGTAAGGACGGTGTCGAATGCAAAAGAAAGCTTCACAGACCATTTATCTGGCCCGCCAGGAACAAGCCACGAATTCGTTTCGTCTCGAGAGAGGCTAAAAAGCATGATTATATGAAAAGCGAATCGACAAGCAAGGCAAGAATCTTACGGCTGAGCTCCCTTGCGTCAATGTGATCATATTCAACGCCGTATGCTGGGCGAACCATTTTCACATTCTCAAGTCCTGGGATGGTCCTCATCATTGGTTCTTGAATTTCCTCTGGAAGACTACAGGAGATGCCGTTTGGATATATGACATCTTCTCGCAGAACAATCAGCACGTCTCTAACGTAGACAGCAACAGTCGATTATACCTGAATCGTAGCCCTCTGGCTCCAACCAGACTTTGTGCTCGGATTTTGACGGAAATCGACGAACTTTTGCTTCAAGAGATGGGCAATATCGAGGACCTGAACGGATGCGAGTGAGGGAGCGCCTTAGTACGCTTGAGACACTGATAAAGGGGACTAAAGTACGAACACACCTTTTCGTGTTTCTTGTATGTGGATATTTTTATGCATGTTGTCTCTTATAATATTATGTGTTTCTGGAGTCGTTTGCGTCAAATAGCAGAAGATCTGGTTTTCCTAAGGGGGTTCGACCATTGAGTACATACAAATGATGAATGGGTTTTATATTTGACTTACTGCATTGTCGACAGATTTATTCATATAACTAAATGGCAAGGGTATAGGATCACCGGATAGTCTTGTCATTTTATCGAAATTGATGGAATTAGCGGCCAGCCGGGCAGGTGTTCCAGTCTGCAATCGTCCGAGTTTGAAGCCTGCTTTCCGTAACGACCCGGAGAGGCCAATGGATGGAGCTTCATTCAATCTTCCAGCAGGTAATCTCCGTGGACCTAAAAGAAATATCAGTTTATCAGAATAGCAGAGAAGTTGCAAAGTGGATCTGTTACCTATGTGAATCTCGCCAGACAAGAAGGTACCAGTACATATGACTACTTGTGAACAGTTAATCTGTTCTCCACTCTCTGTCACGCACAGTGAGCAACGTCCAAACGTCATACTTGAAGAATGACTATACCAAGCTGTATACCTCTTACTAGTAGGCCTTGGGTTGGATCCGTGTATGTCCCATCAAACAACAAGTCGAATACACTCCCAGCACGAACTTCAAGGTTTCCATAATGAAAGAGTTCAGCTTGCATATGTTTTGCGTATAGCTTTCGGTCAATTTGTGCACGTTGGCCCTACAATGACAAATAAATGTCGTTTCAGGCGATGTCATCAAGATCACTTACCCAAACGGCGGGGCCTTTTGAGCGATTCAGAACTTGAAACTGAATCCCTGCTTTATCTTCAGTGCGGAACAGCAAGTCAATCAACGTGAGTCTAGCTTAGATGTGGGAAGAACGTACCGGAAACACGACCCATCAGCCCGTCAAGCGCATCGACTTCTCTCACAAGTGTACCCTTTCCAACACCTCCAACCGAGGGGTTACATGATAGAGCACCAACGGTACTCAGCTGCTGAGTCAAAAGTAGAGTCCGTGCACCCGTACGAGCTGAACCTGCAGCAGCTTCGCATCCAGCATGTCCCCCACCAATTACGACCACTAAATGTATCGTTACACATTAATCGTGGATCGACGTCAGTCAACTGGACGAGCAAGAAATGAATGCAAAACAGACCGTCATAATTTACAGTCTGTGGGTCTACATGAGTTGATACTAATCTTGAGCGAGATATTAGCGCATTTGTGGATTTCTTAAGTGCGCCTCTCGCTCGTAGGAGCATCGACTAGGCAAGAAACAAGGTGATTGCAGCGTAAGTTTTCACTGGACTGGGTTAGAACCAGACGTGCATCTGACCTTAGGCAAGGAGGATCGACACTCGGCTGATCATCGACAGTTACGGAGATCGGCGACGCTTAGTAACTACTACTAAAGACTTGAAGAATGAACTTACAATAGTTCAACTGACTTTCAGCACCTCTACCTGCCTCTTGGATGGCAGAATCCGCTGTAGTAAACACAGTGTCATGCATCGATGTCTCCCTCTCTGGACCCATTAAGTAGGATCCTTCGCAGGGTCACTACAGTCGATGACTTCCTTACTTTGAGATAATCAAATCGGCTGTGTTCTACAAATCTCGGCAGTGAAATGAATTTAATAAACGTTCAGATCAGCATTCGCTGAACCAGTGTTTGATCGAACAAGACGCCCATAGCTTACCCATAGTACAACATTGTCTGATTTGATGTCTAAATGCTGGACTGTGTAGTTAAGCAATAATCAAGGTTTGAAATTCGGTATACCATATATCTTTTAGGTGTTCAGTAATAGTTGCAAGTTATTAACCAGTAATGAATTCTAACTCTATGTTGTACTTGTATTTGTTCTCGATAACCGCGCATTTATGTAAGCTTCATGAGAGCACTCCCAAAAACGGAAGGATATGATGCATCACCGATTTCCATTCGTGCTTGCCTCAACCTTGTCATGCTCGCAGCTTTTATAATTCCCAGGACGCCGTGCCTGTTCGTCTACGGATTATCCTACGAATTGTCGCGCTGCCTCTAAGCTATATGATATACCGAAGAAGAAAAACAACTCACTTGTGTTATAACTGATCGCCGCACTGCTTGCTGATCTGTCAGATAGAGGCCTATCTTTGCTTGTTGGTTTTCCTCTTCTTTGGTTATTCTGAGTAATGTATTGGGTCATTTGCAAGGATGGTAACTAGAAAAATCATCTGTCTCAGATTTATTCACTCAGATAGAATCTGATGTTTGTCCTACAGCCAAACAAACAAACTGGGGAAAGCATTATCGGTTGGAGACATTAATCCAGAACTCATATCTTGCTAGTGATGCTACATTCCTGCTCCTCTGCCAAGAAAAGAAAAAGGTGTCTCGCATGTACCTAGATGATCCGTCGTGTAACTCGGGCTTGTGTACTCACACTGCTGGGCGTACTCAAGTAACTGGTGTTGTTCTTGGCACTGGAAGCAAAAATCTGTGTGCTATGCCCGTTGACTTGTCTGATCTACGGCACGAACAAATGCGTCAGTGCCACTACCACCCGCAGCCTCCAACGCAATGAGATTCCGTGCTTTGGGCTGACATACCACTTATTGTTTACCCTCCTCAATCTCCTTTCCTAGCTGTTCCAGACGCCTGTCGATCTCACCTACATACGAGACTTACAACGGGATTCTCGACCACACCATGGGCCAATATCCCAACAGAGTCACGTCCGCATGAAAGAGTACTTTGTCACCTTCGAGTGTGGTGTATGGGATGTGACGTTCGACCAATGCACATTGAACCACTGTCTCTTTAACCTACTCTGCCCTTTGGCTCTCGTAGAATATTTATAGAGATAGTTTCGACACTGACAGAGCTCAGAATACTGGCCTACTCTCTCCAAAATCCGTTTGTTAACCTACGCCAAACTCCTTTTCGCGCTTACCATATCACTCCAAGGAATGGATTCTAGCTCGGGCCCTGCCCCAGGACACGAAGACGTTATTATGGAGATCTTCACTCCTGAGCAAATAAACATGATCCTTACTGAGCTCGGATACACCCGCCTTGCACCTCCCATTGCAGACCCCGTTGAAGGAGCATCCGGCTCTGTAGGGCCATTGCCTCATGATGCAACCTATGTACCTGCTCAAAATGAGTCCTTCAGTGCAGGTACTACAGGTCAGTCGACTGCATTCGACAATTCAATGCGGTTACAGCCAAATGCCCCTTATGCGATGGTCTCTGGAAATGTAAAAGGATACTCTCTTTTGCGTATGGCAACGACTCATTATTATCTCAAGGAAACATTCACTGGACTTAATGGAATGTCCTCTGCGAATCTGGATTTTCCGATCGATCCTGAATTGCTTTCGTCGGAGCCTTCTCAGCCCAAAGCTTCGACTTCGGGCAGTACGAACCGGGCTTATTATTACTACCCTGGTCCGAACGGAATGCACGACAACAATCAGAGACAGACGTCTGCAGCAGGATCCTCGTCTAATGAGTTCTTCAATACATCTGCCGCCGGACCGCCGACTGTATTCAATAACCTAAACCAGTCCTACCAATGTTTCGAGCAAAATGCCCCAGTATACAATACGAGTGTAAGGGGATAATTTCTTTTTGTGTCTAGCAGCAACCACTAACTATCATCTCTAGGAACCTTTGCATGGAATTAATGGACTTACTTCTGCGCATCCGGATATTGTAATTGACCCTTCTTTATTAATGCCGGCACCCACCCTGCCCGAGGTCTCAACTTCGGGCAAGCACGTTCAGACCAATCATTCCAACCCGGATTCGAGCGGGGCGTACGATGATGAACAGCAGGACGCCTTTGCAGCTGGGCTCGAACACCATGAACAGTCCATCAAACCTAGAAGGATTAGGTCGGAGCGCCATCAGGGCTTGACATGTCCCCGTAAAGGGAAAGATTGCAAATACAATGGCACTTTTCATGATAAGAGGTGCCTTGCTCGACACTGGAATCGGGAACATAAGTCGCAGCCACGACCATTCCTTCTTTGTCCCGGGAATTGTCGAGACAAGGAGTTCTCCGATGAATTCTCTTTGCACCGCCACCTAGGGAATGAAAATTTCGTTGACTGTAGGAGAGAGGCACTCAATAAGGGGTGGATTCCTACGCAGCAATCTCCGGTGAAGTACCTGGCAGATTAGGATTAATCGTCGTAGTTTAAAATTCTTCATACATACTTCGTTTCGCTTGGCTTTGTGGATTTTTTCTCCTGTTCTTATACGATTCCATTCGGCTTATCTTCGTTGAAATGCCTGACGCAAAATGATATATGTTCGTACAATATATTCTTTTAAGTTGAAAATTGTGTTCAATGTAAAAAGTACATGCATGATGTGAAGGCAGTGTTGTTGCGAAGTAATTGGAGGATCATATATTGGCCATACTGGGAGCGTCGTCTCAGAGGCATCATGATACTTGCATGACGGGACAAAGGTCGGTCTTACATTGTGTTATTACTGCTTACATTGAGCACCATTTTCAACTTAAAAATTATACGTTGCGCTGTCGAGAAGGTAAAGTACTAGATAGTAGAACCTTGTGATCATAACATGACATAAATCGGACAAAAGACTTGTCCATTTTATCTTAAGTTCAACCCTGATCTATAAATTTGTACATCCTTATAAAATAACCCATTTCTAATCACTATAGATTGTCTGGTTTCACTTTACTGTCCTAAAATTTCTCTCCGAAATATCATTGCAACAGAGGTATATAGTGTAGCTAGTCCTTTCAGGTATATACAAGTATAAATTGAAATTGTAAGTTTGTTAAGGAGAGTGATTTAAGATTTTATAACATTCTTTATGGCCCTAGCACCTACAGCCGCATCTAATCGCATAACAGCCTGCACGGTGCATATATTGTAGCACCCACACCCAAGCAAAGGCAACAAAATATGCTTCCAATAGTAACAAGAACTGTAGCAATAATCTAGATTTATAAGAATTTTAGTAAATGAACAACTACTGGGTAAGAGGAAATGTGAAGACATACACCAACTACAGCAGAGATTACAGTCTCAATAACAGATGCGACTGCATATATGGTCTCATTAATACTTCGGGCAATTGCAGAAATGATAGAACCCTATTAAGTTAAGAATAATCATACAGTTAATTACATGTGTACACTATACAATATTGAAAGAAAATAGCTCACCATGTTATATGATGAGTAAGAGTAAGAATATTTGGTGAGTGTTTACGAAACTTTCGCTTGTTGGTAGAAGTCAGGAGTAAAGGTTGATAACATGTTAGAGGGCGATGTGTCTTCAACTTATAGGCGCCCACGAAATTTCAAGCTCCGCTCAAAAACTTCCCTCTTTTGGTGGCATTGGATAATGACACATCTCTGGTTCAAATGACTGTACAATAGTCTTTGGGCAGTAGAACTCTCTCTGGATGACCATGCATCTAATATCTATAGTGTTTCCCGAAAAAAGTGCTGCAAGACAGGTGCAATTAAGAGTAGAGCTGTATCCTGGCCACTGAAAAAGAGAAGATTTTGAGCGGAGCTTGAAATCTCGTAGACGCGTTCAAGTTGAAGACACATTGCTCTCCGACAAGTTATCAACCTTTACTCCTGACTTCTACCAACAAGCGGAAGTTTTGCGAACATCTATCGAATATCCTTACTCTTACTCATCATATAACATGGTGAGCTATTTTCTTTCAATAATGCATAATGTATACATGCAATTAACTGCATGATTATTCTTAACTTAATAGGGTTCTATCATTTCTGCGATTGCCCGCGGTATCAACGAGACTATTAGCAGTATCCCATCCGTAATCGTATCTGTAATCTCTGCTGTTGTCAGAGTATGTCTTCACATTTCCTCTTACCCAGTAGTTGTTCATTTGCTAAAATTCTTATAAATCCAGATTATTGCCACAATCCTTCTTACTATTGGAGGCTTACTTTGTTGCCCTTGTCTGAGTGGTGGTGCGGTTGTTTATGCACGGTGGAAGATTTATGCGGATAGCCACGGCGGCAGGCGTCGGAGACATAGAGAACATTATTACATTTAAATCACTCCTTATCAAACTCTGAATTTATATTTGTATATATACTGGCATGACTGTTCAGACGCAACAATATCAAATTGGCATTTGACTACTGGAACCAGGCGAACGTATTCTGCTCTCGCTTTGTGGCTTTTAGAGACCAATTTCAGCAGTAGTGCACGCATTAGTAGCATCTATTTTGGAGGCATTAATATTAGGTACTGGACCTCTTCATACAACGAGGTGTAATTCACCAGAGTTGTTCTCGCAACAAACAAGTGATAAATCACATCCAGAGTCACTGATACCTTCTGCCTGTATGTTCAACCCAATAACCGCTTATGATCAGCTTTCAACCCAAATAGTCCAATGGAAAGTCGCTTACCTTATTCTCGTTGTGGCTAAGGCCGACTGATGAGTTTACTCCTTGCAGCTGCTGAGGGACTGGGGTCGGTGTAGCGACAGCGAGGATAGCGAGCAAGGTAATCATCACAATTTTGGAGAACATATTAAAGTGAGTAGGAGATTGGCAAGATGGTAGGCTCGGAGTGAGGAGTTATAATGAAACGACCGGACTAGTCGAGGGTTGTGTTTGACTAGTGGCTTTGGACTCTGTATTCTCTCCTTTTATAAGTTTAGAAAGCTCTGCGGGAGAAAACAAAAGTTTTCCCAAGCTCGTGTGCAAGTGTGCGTCGGAGAGCGACCTCATCACAAACATTACGATAGGATTGAATAGTGGGAAGACAAAAGATCGCATTACTTCCCCAAGTTCTTGCACGACAGTGTGGTGGAGAGCCGTCGCATCATAAATCCTGCACTGTTGTTGGACAGAAGGAAGGCCGAAGAGCGCATTATCATTTCGATCTCCTTCCATTCGTTGCAATCAGTGATAGTAGAAATCAAATAGTGCAAAGAGAATATCTTGTCTTTGACATGTCCTGTCAACTAGAAAACTCGGTTTCAGGTTTGACCACCGAGGAGCATGCAGAGAGATGGAATCGGGAGCTGATTAACTGATGCATCAACCAGAAGGAGAAACTGTCAATGTAGATGAGCTGTATAAGTGGAACGGAGCAGTATGGAAGGCTTACACATGCACAGTCCTTTGGTATAGCGCGTTGTTCAGGCACCGATGAGTGGGGACGGTCCGAGAGGCATGTTTGCGGAGGAAGAAATTTTGACGGTAAGTTCGGAGCATGAGAAAGCGCCCGATAGATGAAAGAAGAATCAACTGGCACAAAGCGCGATGCCTTCCTCGTGGAGGTGAAAGGAAGGCCGTGTGTGAAGAGTATTGATTAGAGAAGTGGGGGCGAGGACATTTGCCTAAGTTACAACTTGTGTGTCGCTTAGTAAGTAATGACCAGGAATAGTAGTAGGCGAATGCCTTAAAAGGAAGAGATGCAGGTTTCGACTGCATCATAAAAGGTTGTTGTCCAAACGCATCATCCTGACACCCTGACACTTTAGTGTTATAGCTTGTTCAAACAGCCTATTTCAGAAAGATGAAGGTCAATAATAAATATCATCGAAATTTGCTGAGAAAATTAATAATAAAAGAACGAAAGCGATGAAAGAAGGGGGGCGTGCTATCATTGATAAGATTAGATAAGTGAGAGAAACACATACGTCATTTGTCGATCCTCAACGAAATGCACTAAACTGGATTTCTGCAGCGCTTCGTGCTTCACGTTGCACGCAACTTCATCCTTCCACAATCACGTACACTCACATTGTATCAAACGATGAACAACCCACGAAACGAAATAGCCGCTGCCGTGAAAGCGCTCACGCTCGCACCCACTCCCGCCGTCCAACGCGCTGCTATCAACAAGTACTTTGCTCCCGAGGCGGGCTTCCTCCACCCGTTGTGCACGGTTCATCCTGGCCCTGGGAGTAGAGAGGAGATCGTCGGTATATATGAGTGCGTTTGAATTCAGTTTATTTAACTTGGAGACTGCATGTTGAGTTGAGCTGTCTTACGGTGCCACAGGTGGTATAGGGATATGAGTCCAAAAGTTAGCTTGGAAGTCGAGTCGTTTGGTGATGGCATTTCCAACTGATGTCGTTCGTTGCTTATAAAGCTAAGACACTTTGATATTGCAGTATATGACGAAACGCAGAAGGTTGCATACCTGAACGTCGTCCAGAATTTCCATATATTTCTTAGTCCGTTTGCGTCCTCTCCTGCACGGTATGTTCGCTATCGCTATTGTGTTCAGAAGATCGTAATTGTTTTTATTGAACATCACGAATGAAAAGGCTCCTTGTGAAAGTATCTCTGCGAAAGAACCCACAGGATGGGAAGTACTACATAATTCAACAAGAGGATTATTACCAACCTGAGGTGAAGATCTCTTCTTCGACTCAGCCACCCGACCGTTAGGAACAAGGTTGACATTTTCTTTTTCTTGATTTGTTAGGACATCTTCCGACTTGTCCTACCGTTCCTTGCTACTCCGATCGTTTTCGTCAAACGACTCGCTGGACGCGTCTGTGGCGTCAACGCCGCGGCCTTTGCCCTTACACGCGACACTATACACCAGGGTATGGCGCTACTAGGGTTCAACGCTCGAGAAGGTCGAATGGGCAATGCCGTACATCAAGAATAGATTCTGCAAGTCGTTCTCGCCCTTTGTCACTGGTGTAATTATACTGCCACTTAGTACATGTGGAACAATGATATTGATACTCATAGGCTTGTCACTTGCTCCTTCCATTATGGATGCATCAGCATAGAAACATTTCATGTGATTCTCGTTTGTTATCGCGAGCTGTTTCGTCTTCGGTGAACGGTTCAATGAAATTCTGGAAAGCGTCGTTGGAAGCGAGTTTGGATTCTTTGGCTGTGAATGACCCGCACCTGTGCAGCTTGCAACGGTTATCGATTTTTTTTGTTCGCACTCCAAGGAACTTCCCGCCCACATGGGTTCTGACATTCATCTCGTATGCGTCGCGCGAAATGCCGTTCTTTCATCAACTTGGAACGTGCTATCGAGAGTGACGCGAAGTCGGGACCGCTCTTCTAGCGCTGCCGGAGACAAGGGACTGCCAAATAAGAGAATATGAGCGGGAAAGCGTGAGGATATTTCTCCCTTTGACACCAAAGTGGGCAAAAAACGCGGATCAAACGAATCCGAGAACTGTCGGGTACTGAGGGTTTGAGAAACAGGAGAAGAGGTCAACACCTTGCACCGGAACGGCCCTGATTATGAATGTAAATTATAATGTCGTTGCGAGGAAAAGGGCGCCGGGTATAATAAGAATGCATGTATGCACAGGACTCGACTGGGAGTAGATATGACGACGGTCGGGGAGACGAATCGCAGATCGCTAGACGGTAATGGCGGGGAGACGGCACATATATTCGTGAACGACTGCACGAGGCGAGGACATAACATAATTTTCTCCTGTTGTTTCTCTTTTCTCTACCTTCTGTACGAGAGGCGTATTGCGCCATCACCTCCACTGTCTTTCCGTCCTTTTCCCCCTGCCGCTCGTTTTATACCTGATTTTCTTGCGGACTTGCATTGACTGTGCATTTTTATTTGACGTGTTATATAATCGGGCGTCGTTGCCATTGGTAATTATTGCGACTGAATTGTTTTGTCTTGACAGCCTTCATTCCTTTTATTTGTTCCTGAATTCCGGGCGACGCGCGCAGTACCGTTCGGTCGTGGCGTTTGTGGGTTTGTGGTGAGCGAAGTGTTTCAATTTGCTGTGTTGTTTTATATTTTTCTTCCTTGCATTGTTCACACTTCTGGGACGGCGGCGATTCGGGATGAAGGGACGAGCGTGCGATCTAACTGAAATTGGCGAGCGTCTAGTGAAGCAGGCCGTGATGGATTGGAACGCTGGAATATTCTATTGATTTTTCTGGCGGCGGCTGTTGGCTTGAGCTTGCACGGACGGGGGTTGTTGTTTCTTTTGCCTCGCGCTCGCTCTTCTTCCCCCTTCCTCCATTGCAAAGCTAAAGACACGAGGCCGGCTCGTGTCCGTGACGGCAGCTTTGTTTGCATCACTGTTCTCATCCCGTGCTGCTGGGAGGTTGGGAACACGAGGCAGACGCGTTGAGTCCGCGCGAACGTCGTCCTGCTCCAATTCAGTCCGTCTGAGCCTAGAGTGAGTTAGGTCCAGTGGGTGTTGCCTGCCTGCCTGCACTCCCTGCTCGCTCGCCCCCCGTCCAGTCGAGCCCGTGCGTCTGCTTTTCCACCCTGTCTACTTATCTCTCTCCTTCCCGTTCCGTTTTCTATTCATAGCGCGTGCAGGCACGCGTCGTGCCCAAAGTTCAACCATTATCAAAGTTCCTGATGCTGATATTCTTTCCTTGCCTTAAGGTCCTCCTTCAACACGTTCGCTAGTAGCAGTCCGTGTGTGCCGTCTGTCTGCACCTCTGTCTGTGTCTGCGACTAAGACTAAGACCAAGGACCAAGGCTTGGACTCCGACTCCGATCCGCAAGGCCCCGCGAGCTGAGCTGAGCTGTGCTCCGCCCTATCCGACTGTTTTTCGCGCTCTTGCGTTTTGCGTTTGACCTACGCACTGCATTTCGAGCGAAGCGATCTTGATATACGTTTCGTACTATATCATTATCAACAACCAACTCGGGCACCGACGGTCCGTCACGCGTGTATACTTACATTATACACATACACACACCCTACCTGATTGATAGTCGTCGTTTCGATCGTTTCGACGTCATACTGTCTCGGACACCTCCGTCTTCGTTTTGCGCGTCTGGATTGGTAACCGCGAACTGAGCTCGTGGACTTCATTTATTATCATTATCAACAGACAGAAAACCCAGCATTTCAACAAGCGAACCAGAAAAAGCAGAAAAGTCTAAAATTAACATCTCTGTATCCCGGGCTCCATTGACTACGAGATCTCTCCACTGTATGAGAAGAGAATATGTTTCGAAGATCGCGCGCCCCGTCTACTCCGACGACTCCGGCATCCCCGAGCACCGGACAGGAGGGCAACGACAATGAGATTTCTGACAACTATGAAGTTGTGCAGACTCCTTCCGGCTCCAATCCGAATTCGCTTCCCTCCTCTTCGTCGGATGCTGGTAGACCTGCTGCGACTCGTCGTGAATCGAGGAGACGTCATTCACAGCCGAGTCCTCCAACACCAGGTGTAACTCCTCCCCCACACGTTCGTCAGGCATCTTCTCGAGACGATTGGTATCCTTCCTGGCTCCCGCGACGTCCACCCCCACCTGCACCAGCTTCCACTGTTCCCTCCGAGAGGGGTCACGGTCACTCACCTATCCCGTTCATGTCTTCTCCATCGAATGCCGGGACGACCCGTGGTGGTCGTCCCATGGCCAGCGGTGCTCACAGGATGACACCCAGTTACGACACTGGATACACGGGATACACTGGTACTGGTGAGAGCGGCGAGTACGTCGACATTGGCGAGTATGATTTCGATCCTGCACTCGCAGAGAGCGAGGGCACCGAAGAGCGCGTTGGAATCGGTCGGCGACAGACTCCGCGCTCTGTGCGTATCATCTCAGAAGCAACAGCAGCGGCCGCCGCTTCGCGTAGGCAATCGGCTTCCAGGCATTCGCGACGCTTGTCAAGCAGCGGTGTCCAACAGCAGGTTCGATCACGAAAGGAAGGCCGCGCGGGTCACGTGCATGGCTCGGGACCGAAACCTTGGTGGCGAGGAACAGTTTCTACGCCGCTGAGTCCGACCGTTGTGTCGCCCTCACCGTTCCCAGGTGCACTGGGACCGATGACGACGGATGTACCCCCGCCCTCCGCACCTGCACATATGCGTGCATATCTCCCGCATCCGGGTATGCCGGGCGTGGGTGGGTATAATGTAGTTGGATCTGTACCGCTACGACCGCGGTTCCGCGCTCCGGGACTCGATCTGGGATTCTTGAGTAACCCGAGTGCGTTGAACAGGTTACGGTATATTTTATGGCCGATCTGGGTATATGGCCTTGTTGTGCTTCAATCGTTCCTTGACCTCAATGCCATATATTGTCTCGTCCAGTACGTTTATTTTTATTTTTTATTTTTGGTAATTTTCTCGCTGTTTGGATATTCTTACTCATGGTTTACTACTTTGACAGGCTGGCCCTCCACCCGACTCCTGCATCTCCACCCTCAAGTTCGTCCAATAACTCTAATCCAAGCTCAAGCAGGAACTGGGCTTTGGGCGCTGCGGGGTACGGAGTCTGCTGGCTCTTCTGGATAGTCGGTATCATATTTATCTATGAGGTCGTCTATTGCTGGTGGAGACGCTGGCGCTGCAGTGAGTGTTCGATATCAATTTTTTTAACAATTGTGGTATTCTGCTTTAAAATATTCTATTTTTACACCACTTGCGCGTGTTTTTCATTTCTACAGCTTAACCTTCATTCGTCGATCCTTCGCGAAGTCCAGTTTGCGACCGTTTATACCCTCTGAACGTGTTTTTCACAATACTTTCAGGCCCCATTCAATGGTGCCTTCATATATTGAGTTCTTGACAACTAATTACAACTTTGTACCTCTCCTGCAGAACGTCCTCTCATGATCCCACTCTACCTGTCTGCTCCGGCGTATAACATCGTGTGCATGACGTCCTTCGTGAACTTTTGCTTTTTTCGATACATCCGGTCTTCCGCGCGTCCGAGGCTTCCCGTCCCTCGATTCCTGAGGCCATGTGGTTCTTCGACGTCTGGGTCGACTATTCCGTCCAGGGCGGTCACGCCAAGTGCCATGTCCGTCGCAACTGAAGCAAGGCCTTCTCAACAGCAGGAGAGGGAGACTTTTATTAGTCCCACTACGGCGGAAGGAAAGGAGAATGTGCCTATGGTCATTCCTTCGACTACTGCACGTAGTCCGATTCTCGAGTCGATGTCTTCATTGGCTTCGTGGGGTGACTGGTTCGCCGAGACCTGCTACTTCTATGGACAGAACCTCCCGACTGTTGCGCTACTCCTCCCGCGTGCGGCTTTGTGTGTTGCGATACTGCTTGCGTTCACCTCTTCCCAGCCGGAGGATAGGGCTCTGGGAGCTTTAGGCTTGATGAAGCGTGACCAGACTTTCTTCCGTCCAGATGGTTCGCTTTCGGGATATGCGAGAGGTGTGCTCCTGGCGAATGTTGCGTGGGCGGCCTGGCGGGTTGTGATTCTGTTGATCAGCTGGGTTGGCTTGTGGTTGATGAGCGGCCAATTGTGTGCTGGTGTGTGTGGACCGCGATTTCGATGGGAAGAACCGGAGGAAAGGCCTGGTTATGCGAAAGGTCTGGATGAAGAGCAGTTCGAGGAGGCGCAGGGTGTGTTGTCGACGTGGACTTGGAGAGCATGTACTCGTGCGCGAGTGTACGACGCGTATGACTTGTGTCTCTTCCTTCCGCCACCGTCGACAAAGGCTGCGGAGAAAGCACGAGATGTGTCGACTGAGAAGTCAGCACGGAGAGCTGGTGGAGTGATGGATGAAAGTGAGGAAGATGCAGTGCTTGATCGCGTTCTGGCTGCGGCTGGGTTACCGAAGGCTCCACCTCCTGCTCGACGAGGCATGTTGCGTGGCGAGTTGTTCAATACGCCGCCAGAGTTGAGGAGAGAGTTGTCGGAGGAGGCGGTTGTTCAGGAGATCACTATTAGCTCACCGAAGCCACCTGGAACGAGGGAGGGATCGAGTAGGTCGAGTCGGGAACGTCCGCCGTCAAACATGAAGCCTTATCCGTTTACGACGTATCCGGCTCGTCAAGGTTCACAAGACATGGGAACGCCTTCTCAAGTGAAGATTCCGTTCCCGCCGAGTCCGAGAACGAGTAAGCACAGTGATAGGGAGGGGAGTGGACATGAAGCAGAGGAGGAAGGAGAGGAGGAAGAGGAAGACGTTGAAGAAGAAGGGGAGGAAGATATTGAAGTTGGAGAAGGATACGATGAGTTTGGGTTGAACGTTGAGGAGCCATCATCTGGACGTAACTCTGCATCGATGAGTAGTCTTGGACAGCAGATTCCGAGTCGGTTCCCCTTCCAGTTCAGGCATATTTCACGTCGCTCAAGAGGAGGAAGGTCGTCCGTTGGAACCCAGCAGTCGCGGAGCAACTCGAATAAAACGAGCTCGGCATCGTATGGTGCCAGTCATGCGTCGAGAACAATTAGCTCGTCCGATAGGCGACAAAGTCAGGTTTCGGATAGCCCTTGGAGTCAGAGTCAAAGAAGTCCTGAGGCAAGTGCGGCTCAATCACCAGTTAGTCCTCACGAAGGCGCGACGTCAAGTTCGAGCTATGGTTCTCCTATCAGTGGTCATCTCGGAGGCCAGAGTGTTATCCCGATGCCACCCCGCACTGCGCGTAAAACGAGGCAACAGCGGGCAAGTCTGCCAACCCTGCCTGTATCGGCGATTCCGGCCGGATTTTCCGGCGCCCGTGATCGTTCAAGGACATTGAGCGGAGGTACTCAGGCTTCTTCGGGTCTCAACCTCACCCCACATCCTCAGTATGAGAGCAGCGGCGGAGAAGAGTCCGAACACGAGCAAGGCACCTCGCGTGAGTTCGGCATGCTGACAGACCCTGAAGCAGACGGTAGCCAGGAGGAAGCTGAAAGGGAAGACAGTGTCGGTCTTCTCTCGGGTGGCCCTTCGCCGCGATCTTCGCTCGGGATGCTAAGAAGCCGGAGTAACCTTTCATTAACGAACTTGAACCTTGGAATCCCGCACTCGAGGAGAAGCAGGCACAGCTCGGCGTCTTCTGTCAGTCATAGTCATAGCCGGAGCAGTCGAGGTTCGAGGTCTGTCTCGTTTACCGGATCGGGTTCGCAGGGTGCGTCGGCGCGTTCGAGGAGTATTTCGACGCAGGCACGTTCGCGTGCGCAGTCTTTGGTACAGGGAACCGTTGGTGCGGCCAGTCATTCGAATGTGAGTATTGAGATGGCCATGCGTTCCAGGGCGAGTTCGCTTGCGAGACTGTCGGAAGTGCCCTCTGTGCATCGTCGGTCGAGCGAATCGCAAACGCGTTCCGAGTCGTTCTCGGGATCGGGAGGTTCGAACGCGATCTCGCCATCCCAGCATCGCGTGAGTCGGGGGGACTATACGTTTGGTCAGCCGATTCAACTGAGAGTTGTTGACTCGGGAAGTGAAGGAGGATCGGGATCGGGAAGGCAAGGATCGTCACCGCGTGAACTGTCGCCACACTCGAGGCGAATGTCACGGCAGGAGGCGACGATAGTGCCTGAGACTGCACGAGAATTGCAATCTCAGGTTTCTGGTGTTGCGCCCACCGAACAGTCGCAACAAACGACCGCTCCGGCTTCTTCATCTCTTCCGATCCCGGAGACGAACGGTATTTCGAGACCCTCGCAAGGTGGAGCTGGAGCACCATCTTTAATTAGCTCGGCAGACGACACATTAATCGCACATCCGACGTCGCAGGAAGAAGGCTCGTCTGACACTGCTGTATGACCTGATGGTGAGTCGACAAGTTTCAGGACGTCGTGAAAGTGAAGCTTCTAACGATTAAAATTCAAAGTAAAAGTGAAGTGAAAACGAAACGATAAAATTTCTTGTGGATTTATGATCACTCAAACGTTGAATGTGTCTGATGTCCCATATTACACCTCTCATCTTGTTCCCCTCATCCATTTTGTCTAATGATCCTCTCTGATGTTGATGACCTTATACGGACCTGCCTGATTCTAATGTCTTCATCTCTTCACGTGTTCCATTTATCCATCGTCCTCCCTCTTGACCACATCACGCCTATTCTCACTATCTTGTGGATTTCTTGTACACTACCTTTCGACGTTCTCATCTCCTTGGTTTTTCCAGCATCATTTCCCTTCTGCCTCCTTGGCCATTTCTAACCCTGGCTCAACTTGATTGGTTTGTGTTTTTCCTTGACCATTTTTTTTCCACCTTTCTACACACATTTTACATCTTGTCTGTAGACACCTCCTTCTCCACCTCTCCCAACAATTGCCATTACCATTGCCCATTTTGTATTTGATTGTTACATTATTTTCTTTCGAAAGTCTTGTTTCACTGGCGCGCATTTCTTTTCTTTTCTCATTTACTACTTACCGGTCTACGTATGTCTTCTAACTAATGAATGGTTGCTACGTTTGTGCGCGTTGATTATTGTCTATTGTCCATCGACTTGTGTCTTACATCTGTGATTCACGTAGCTAGCTTGTTGACGTATGGCGATACATACACAATCTACGATTTTGAAATCTATATTACTTTGTGATGATTAGGAACTGATATAAGATTGGATAGGTGTGTTCTGTCTATTTTCAATTAGCTTAGTTGTGAGTGGCTGGACAAACTGTGTGTAGTTTCAAACTCTTATTAGATGATGGCCTATGCTTGCATCTCCTAATCTTGCAACTTCATGCTCTTATTTAATCTCAATCCATGTTTCTCAGTTTACAGGTTTCAGTCTCAGTTCTTGTGCCTCTGCTACTCAACTACTCCTAGCCAAATACAAAGATATTAGGAGCACCAACACAAAAATCCCAAAATTGCTCACCAAATATACATGTTATTGCTCTGAAAATTCCAATGTATTGGTTCTGTATTTAATCAGATAAATTAATCAGTAAGAGGGTTAGTTGACATACCAGAAAAAACATCAAATTAATGGGTTTAGTAAGTGCACGTCCCTGCTCAGTACCTTGTTCAGTTATATCCAGAGGAAGAATGAATAGGCTGGATCTGGTACTCAGAAGAATTCAACCTGTACTAGTGGTCAAAACTATTAATACAGAGGGTTTAAGCACAATTCACCTCTCTGTCCAGTGCAATCACTATACAATAGTCAAGACATAATACATGTAGAAGACTTACACAAAATGAACATACTAGTGTCATAGACCAAAAGAGCAATGGTTACAAATTGGCAATATTGTCCAAGAATTGTTCCCGAAATAAACTCCTGCACAAAACCAAGGTCTAGAGCAGCTGAATTGTCTCTGTCAAAAAGCAACATTGTTCAGGCAAGAGTTTCTCTGGATGATAGATTGAGAACAGCTGTGGTCCATGTCTTTCCTGAGTAACAAACAAACTCCTTTATAGCATTCTAGAAAATAGATATTATTGTGTTGGTTTGAAGATATCAGCTTGTTGCTACCACCAAATAGCAAATACAGTATGTGATCCCATTGTGTCAATAATACACAGGAGCTGACAGTTCCTAGTTCTTGAAAACTTGCTGATAACCCCTTAGCTGTATAGTAGACATGTGATGAAAGTGTAAAGAATGACTGTAAAGTGGCAGAGCCAAGACAAGTAATATTACATGTACTTGCTGGATGAATCATGTTGTATAACATATCCTAAAAATGAACACAAAAGCCACCCCCTTTCAGCAGAATGAAGTCAATTGCATTGTGGTGTACACAATCGTCTCAATCAGTTATTCAAAACAAGGAACCTAAACGGTACCTGGTTATTGTTGATCAAACAGTCCGACAGATTCTATCCGGCAGGCACAACTTATCGACGAGTGTGCATTGGCAACAGATTAAAACCATTATACGAGTATACAAAACAATCATACATTGATAGTGGTTGAAAGAGGTGTAGGACTAATGGTGAAAATTGGATACTAACCGACTTTACTTTTCATTACCGTATGCGTGTACGCCGGAACTCGACAGGCAGGATAGATCCTTCCTAACCAGAGTCTCCGAAAGGACAGCTTGTACGCATATCAGGTTATTATTTGCTTAGAGAATGCATCTATCTCATTGGAGCGGCCTAGGAAGATAGCCGAGGCGGAAGCAAAAGCGTGGGGAAATATTCAATTACACAGACACGGCTCATGCAGCTTACTCTGTGCTCATGTCCTAAGCAATCGGACACGTCTCCCCAACCTATTCCTGCTTGCCATTCGCCTTTAACTCGCACGTTGACTATCAACTCGTAGCCCTTGACCCTTCCTGCTAATAAGGATTCAAGATGTCGGACCCAGTCGCAGAAAAGTCGACCTTCCTATGCATGTACATGTCCAATCACCCAGACACGCTCGTTGCATACGTGCGCTATTGGGGGAAAGTGAACGAGGTGGTGAAGAGTGCGAAGATGACGGCTATTGACAGTAACGTACGTTGATAAGTTACTCACCTTCCCCGCTCCTTCCTCTATTTCATAATCCTCTCCGCGTTCGTACTAATGTTTCAACATTTGTTCGTTGGGGGAAATTGAATGTTCAATGTAGGGCATGACCCTGAGATACAAACCCAGGTCCAAAGGCGATAAAGCCACCAAGGATACGGAGGAGAAAGAAGTTCGCGTACCGTTTGACCCACCACTGTCCGGGTACGAAGAAGTCAAACCGCGATTGTTAAGCATGACTGCTGATGCACAGGAAGCACTCGGGATGGTACGTCCACGCGGTTCATTATACAACAAAATTTATCGTATTCAACGAAAACCGCAGTCCAAAGCTCCCCAAATAAGCACCTTCCACCTCCCAGCCTCCTTCCTCAAAACAGGCATCCCGCTCGCACTCATGGTCTACACAACCCTCTCACCCATCCTCTCCACCTCCGCACCCGCCAACCAAAAGTGGAATTGGGAATTCGGATGCTGGTTGTATGATGCTGTGGGTGGGACGAAGTTGTTCAAGCCTTTGTGGATATTTACGGGTGTAGTGCATTTTTTGGAGGCGGCGTATGTGACGAGGTTGTGTGTTAAGCATCGGACGGGGTTGGTTGTTGGTGTAAGTGTCCTTACTTTTTTTCTTTCTTTCTTTTCTACATAGTATTTGACGGAGATGAGTTGATGCTAATTGTTTTTGTGATTCTTAGTTCCAATATGTTTTGAGTGTGTTCTTGTTCGGGTTCACGGTGCTGCTGCCGTTCAGGAAGAGGATCCAGCAAGCGAGAATTGACTCAATTATGAAGGGGAACTGACCAATCCACCTACCCTTCTCTTGCCTCATACCTGCTTACTTCTTTCTTTCTTCGCTTTTGACTTTTTAAACTGATGATGTTGCTGTTTGACGTGCTGTCTTCGAAATGCTGTCAAGTTCTCATGTTTAACATATTACAATATTATGATATATTCGTATGCGAATAATACATTGTTAAGAAGACAAGAAAGCAATACAAGATGTTCAACCTGTTATATATATTACAACACACATTTTTCCCATATACATATACACATGATCCAACTCAGATTAAGACTCGAGGTATCAGTTCCAAATCTCCTTCAGCCTCCCCTCCACACTCCTCTCACTCTTCCCTCCTACGAGCTTCTTCGTTCGATGCTTCATCTCCAAACCCCTCTCCTTCATCCTGTCCAGAACGTATTCATACACCGCAGGGTCGTCCGGCCCACATACACCCAATTCTAACTCTGCACCAACCCCACCACCACTAACACGAAGGCTGTCTAGGACGCGAAGCGCAGCGAGCGCGACGGGTACTCCAACGCAGAGGGACATGGCGGAATGTTTGGGTGTGCCGTATACTTCGAGTTTAGAGGTGTGGACCTCCTTTTCTTCCTCGATAGCCTCGGTATCATGCGACTGGCCTTGAGGGTAAGAGGAGGAAGAGGAAGTGATGATTTCGTGATGCAAGACAACGAGATCTCGTTCACCTGGTTTGTAAGCCAGCTTGTGAGAGAGGAGAGTTGCGAATAGGTCGATTGGTGCCTTCGCTTCTTTCGGTGGGTCCGGTAACCGAAGAGATGAACTTGAATAGTCGCCCGTTCCTCCTGGATGGGAAAGCCAACGAATAGCTTCGAATAGGTCCTCCAGTTCCTCTTCGCTTTCATTATTATTTGACCGAATTAAATCGCGAATCGCACTGGTGAATGAAGCAGAGTCGTTAGCGTTAATAGCGACGCCCGTGAGGTCCTCAACGGATGCCCGAATGAGGTCGGAGTAAGAGTGAATCTGGAGTTTGCGGGCGGTATCTTCAGTGTCTAGGAGGCCGAGATGTTTGAAAGAGTGGAGGAGACTGCTGAAGCCCGGGTATCTGTTTTGACGTTCGTAAGTCATCAGCGGGGATATTTCAGAAGACAAATGAAAATGTGGAGGTCGTACCTTAGAGTTCCACGGAAGAGTGTTCGCAATCCTTGAGATTTATGAAGATCGTACGTAGTCGAGTACGACAGGCTATCACGATTTGGTAGACCTTCGAGTTGTAATACATCTGATATGGGGAGTTGAGGGATGTTCGAACGAAGGAGATCGTCACTCGATACGTTTTGAACCTAAATAAAAAATGCAAAATCCAGCCACATTCCCATTTCATTATTAAATAAAAAGAAACATACCTTCCCATACACAAGGAACTGCGCCCCATTCAAAGCAGCACTCAACACACCCCTCGGACTCCAACTGAACTTATACTTAAGCGGCACGTCAGCACACTCGGGTGCGGGTAGACCACCGCAGAACGAGGTGAACGAGACGACTTTCTTCTTCTGCTTGCGGAGAGAGGCGAGGAGGGAGAGTGCGGAGCAGTGGTCGATCCCTGGGTCTAGGCCGATTTCGTTTAGTAGGAGGACGCCAGAGTTGATTGCGCTGTTTTTGTGCCGGAGGGAATGAAACCATGGGTTAGTATGTTAAAGAGATGGATTGACTGTGAGGAAGGTTACGGACCGATCGTGTAAGGCGCGCATTGCTGGGGAGATGTATGAGGCTGTTACGAGGTGTCGACCATGCTCGATGCAGAGTTCTGCTACCGCAGGGTGAAGAGGGACTGGAAGAAGACTAGAGATGGAGAGGGAAAGAATGTTCACATTTATCAATCTCTCACTAAATTTACTTATTCAGCTTTGAGACGGTGGATTGCATACGTACCTGATAACAACATCGGCATTTTGTATCAGTTCCCCGACTTTATCCCTCTGAGACATGTCAATGGTAACGGGAGTTGCGTTACATAGGAAGGTATTGCGTGATGGTTGGTCGCTCGCTGTACAATGAACATAAAATGTCAGTTTTTGCTTGAACGATGCCTTTTTCTCAAAGCAAGAAGAGGACATTGCAAACTCGCTTCTCTTCTATCGTTTATTATTAACATGACGTACCTACGATCAATTCGACATCGCCTCGCCTACAAATTCCCTCTACTGCCGGACCCGCAACCATCCCACTCCCAAGTAGCAAAATCCTCTTCCTTGGTGGTATTGCAGCCTGTACTTGCGAACTAGAACTAGAACTCCATGCCGCTGTCGAATTCGCTGGAGTTCGACCTGCATCCGAAGCACTCGTTGACCCAGCACTTTCTGATGAACTCAAGCTCCGAGCCCGATAAACATCCACCATTCCCTGTAACCACACATGCCGTTTCCTAAGCTTCCCCTCCGACGCGATCGTCGCTCTCTCCAACGCAGCGTGTATCTCCGTCCCTTCAGCATTCTCATCTAACTGTTCCACTGTCTTCCCATCTTGCCAACTAGTAGTAGAGGTAGAGACGTTGGCATACCGATACCGGTTCGCTACGTTCCGCACGTAGGGAACAATACCTTTACTAAAGCTCTCACTTGCTTCTAGTGGGAGAGCTGTAGGTAAGATGTCGACTGACATCATTTGTAATTGTGGGAGTGGAGAGGGAGAAGGTGGGAGTAACAGGTTGGGGAATGACGATTGGAGGTCGATTGTGAAGGAGGGTTGGGAGAGGGTTGAGGCGTGTGTTAGGAAGCCTAGGCCGCCCTACATTTCGTAGTGGTGAAGAATAATAGGTAAATATAAGACACATTTAATGGTGAACGCAGAACCTGACGCACCTCAATATCACAGCTCACGTCTGCATAACTCTGACATCTCCCCTTCATCACGTCTCGCGGGCTCAGGCCCGAATACGAGTCTGAGTCCGCATCAAGGGAACCTCTTTGCTCGTTGCCATTCCCATTCTGAAGCTCTTGCTGTAACTCCCAAACACGCGCGAGTGCAGCAGCAGTCTGCTCGATCGACATAAGTCTCGGCGACTCAGGCGTCCAGCCAACGCCGTTAATAAGGAGTGTCATGTACGGCGCAATCTATAAGCAAAATACAATATATAATATATAATATATCCTTATTAACGTAGTTCGATCAAAGACCTTTGTTCAAGATCAATCACTTACAAGTTCGTGAAAACGTGACTCGAAGTTTGCCGGATTCGCGTAGTAAGATTGTCGGTCGGCTCGTTCGCCCGTTGTTCGGTTGAAGAGGTATGTTTCTTGCGTTGCGTGTAGGAGGTATATCTATAATATTCCATCCATCGTTTCGTTCAACCAGGCGATTAACATCAGCGTACGCGTTATTTTAATGTTTCTAATTAGACTTCACCTTGTCCAGCGATGTATCTTTTTACAGAATTGAATATCCAATCAGATCACGATCTTCGCAAATCCTTTCGGTAAAATTCGAGACTTACCAGGATCCCTAATGAGCCTCGGAAGACTCTCAACAGTGACATCTTGAATGGGAAGCGTCTCGCGAAGAAGGTGTAGCGCACCGGCGGATACTTGTCCCGATCTATACACAAGGTAGGGACGTAATTAGTATCATACATACGTACAAAGATAAATTGATAGTTAGGGAGATATAAACGGAGGGAGGATCAGCAGAAGGAAGTAAATGAAACCTGGGCATGCGAACGAGAAGTCGAAACGAAATTTGAAATTTACGAAATTATGAAATTATGGTATTATGGTGCTTACCCGGTAACTACGATGATGAAAGGACCCATGCTCCTTGGTGTACCGTCTCTGGCTATTAACTCCCCGATGTTGCGTAGGGAGGAGAGGAGGGAGGGGAGAGGGGCGGTGTGTGGGCGCGGTGTTCCCTGGATTGCCGTTGAATTTGAATTTGAGCAAGACGGGGAATCAAATCAAGTCAGACTTGGCAAGAACGGGAGGAGAAAGTGGTTCTGAAGAAGGGAAGAAGAGAATGACAGACGAACCAAGAAAGGCGAAGCAACGCCAAGGTTGAGATGTAAATGTGCGGTCGAGACGAGACCTTCTAGAGCTCCGGCAACTGCATTCACACAACGTCAATCTCAATTCAATTCGCATTTCCAACTATGAACGGGAGAGGATGAGAGGTACTGTACCTCCTGCAAACCAGCCAAACCCAACCGTCCTCTTCCCATTCGGGTCTGTAAGGAGTTCCCAATCAATGAGCGTCGCTAACGTCTTCGTCTTCTCAACCGACTGGGACGGAGAAGCGAGGAATTTCGATAACAAAGGTGTGTTGTACGTTTGTCCCTTATGTGTATGCGAGAACATAATATGGGTTCTCGGTCTCAGAGTATTCATATTATTAGAATGAGAAGATGAAGAAGAAGGTGCTGGAGAGATGAGGACCTCTTCGAGAGGTGTTTCTTTGATACCGAGGATTATGTCTGCTGGGGAGAGGGTTGGGTGGATCTTGGCTCCTGCCTACGAACAAGAATTAGTTGTGGAAAGCACAGATCAGAAATGTAAGAGTAGTAATAGACTGGTGTAGCACACCTTAACGAACTCCCCATCCTTCCACACCCTCCTCTCACAAGGCTGAACATACACATCTACCCCGTCTTCATGTACGAGTCGCTCGACAGCTTCGGGAGTTAGAGGGCACCGCCGCTCCCATATTCGCGCCGGGTCTTCGCGCCGGATGCCAAGTGCTGGACGTCTTCTTCCTTCCTTGTCCTTGTTGAGCCTAGGTGTTGTGCGATGAAACGGTCGCCGAGGACGAGGGAGTAGAACAGGCGCGGAGGTGTTTGGATAACGGAGCCGAAGACGATGTAGCGAAAGCAGCAGCATGGAAGACTACAGAGTGGAGAGAGAGAGGACTAGACAGACGGCCAGATGGTGGATGGTAGACGGAAGAAAGAAAGCCGAGAACAACGGGGAGTCTACATAATCCCTGCACATTCTCCATAAATGATTCCCTTAAATATTGTTGTAAGGAGGGGGTGGAGGTGGTGATCCGCCCGATGAAGTGTGTCATGCGTGCGTGTCCTCGTTGCCCATGCCGTTCTCCCGTCCTCCGACAAATAAGTCATTATTTGTCCATAAACGATATACGGACATCATGCATCGCATCGTATGGATCGCATGGAAGAAAGAGGGGACCGCCACAGGTCGTTCGGCGTCGTACATATTTGAATATGCAGTCAATTAGCGTAGGATCATATATCGAGGACAAGACGCGCCTACCAGCGTAATTTATCTCATCTCCCATTCCCATTCATTCTCAACTCAATTGCATTCATTTATCTAATCTATCTTTATATCTAACAGACTCTAACTCCCAAAAAATAAAATTAGAATTAAATAAAGAGGAAATATCAAATATCGACTCGTGTAAAATCTCATATATCGAATAACAAATACCACTCATCCCCGCATCTGCATCCGCAGCAACTCGTCTTTGAAAATCAACCCCCACGCAGTCACAAAATACAGAACCCCAGCAGGTAAAGCGCACTTCGTCAACATCTCTCCCCAGTCCCACCTCCGAGGTCCTACTCTCCCTTCTCTCAGTCTCTGGACCTTTCCGTATCCGTTAATCCCAATCCCGTTTCCATTCGCGTGACCATTAACGTGATGATGATGTCCATGCCCATCTGGTGCGCGTCCAGTAATAAACAAGTTACTCGTCACCCAAATCTGTACACTCCTCGACAAACACGTCGTCGTCCCAATTAACGCCCAACACGCCACAGGTCTCTTCGTATGATCAAACAACACAAGTGTGAAATGCGTTGCGGGCCAGCAGATACATTGTAGTGCGACGAGTCGGATGAGTGTGGAGGGTGTTGTGTAGTAGGCTTTCCAGCGCACTAGGAGGCCTGTTGTGAGGAGGAGACATTGGGTGCCTGTTAGGATTGCCTGCGGGTATGTTAGATTGGAGAACGGGAAGGAAAGAACGGTGTTGACGCACCCATAAAGCACAAATGACGAAATCGATACCCGACAGTCCCACAGCGACTCCCCCACTCGAAGGTGGAGAAGGAGGGTAGACAACATGATAAAGATTATACAACGTGCCAAACGTTGCAGGTATAACCGACAGGAAACGCGTAACTTGGAACAAGAAAGGAACGAGAAAGTCGATGAGAAGCGGGACAACGGGCCGCGAGGTGACGTTTCGTGACGTCGGAAGGCGTTGAGGCTGCACACGAATTACGAAGTACGAAGCGACGAACGAAGCACGGAACGAGGAAGTAGGGTCAAAATGTTTGTTAGTATCAGCATACATACACACACATCGAATGAAGGAAGAACAACGCACGAATTCATCCACCTCAGTCTCCGTCTCTCCCGCACACGGCTGTCCTCTCGCCGTCGTAACCACCCTCGGCACCTCCGACTCTTTCCGCTGTCCCCCTCCTCTCTCCCTATTTCGATTCCGCAAACCCGATGAAGAGGAAGACGCTGCGCGGGAAAAGAAGATAAGGTCTTCCGTTCCGTCTTCGTCTCCGTGTTCCTCCTCCTCCTCTTCGTCCTCGCCTTCTGCGGAGCTGTTTGAGGAGCTTGTGCTTGAGGAACCCATCCGAGAGGAGGAAGAGAGGGGTTGGGCTAAGGTCCAGAGTGGAGGGTATGCCGTCGTTGGGTGTAGTGCTGCTGGGAACCGCGAAGTCGATGCTGACGCGTGGGTAGTACGCGCTCGAGCGTAGTTATCCTCCGTAGCAGTCAGTGAGGCAGACGAACTCGCTGAGTCGCTCCTCGCGCGCGTTCGGAGGAGTTGAGGAGAGGACGCAGCGCGCCGTGGTCTGTCGTCCTCTGGTACGTTGCCAGCAGCAGCAGAAGAGGTAGGCGACATGGGCATAGCTCCGGGATTGAGAGGTGTCAGTATGAACGCCGGTTGGAGTATTGGGAGGTGTTCGAGGGATTTTTGTTTTCTGCGCTTTGGTTTTGGTGTTGATGTTGGTGACGGTTTTGAAGATGTTGTTCGACGTGTGCAGTTACGAGGGGAAATAGAACCTGAGCTAGAGCTTGAACGTGGAAGCCTCTGCTGCTGCTCGAAATGCTGTGAACTCGAAGTACGTTTGGGAGGGCTATGCGTGTCGGGTGTGCGTACTGTTACTGTCTGTCTTGCCGTCATGGTTGTGACACGGACAAACGAGACCGACAGGTTATCGTAGGATAGATATGTATTTATCGTATCGTATAGTATGGCAATAGCAATGGTATGCAACGTGCGTACGCGTAATAGAAGACGAAGAAGAGGGTTTTAAGCCAGATAGAATGGGAGAGACAGAGAGACGGTCGAGAACGAGGGACACACCACTCACCACAACAGACTCCAGACAGAACCCACCCGAATCCCGAACGAATTGAATCGAATGAGAGAATGGAGAAGATCGCAATCTGCGTGGAAGGTACGGACCGAAGAACGAGGTGTTACCACAGGCACAGGCGAGCGAACGAATGAATTGATTGTGGAATGAGGAATGTGCGTAGAGAATCGAGGTGGTAAGAGGCAAGACGTCGCGTACAACCGTCGAAGGACTGCATCGGTCCGGCTCCGGCGTCTTTATCATCCACGCATTATTCTTGCGCAATATCAATGCAATGACGAGGGGTTTGACGAACCTGAACGTGCACAGTTTGGGATGGCATCACTCTTAAACACGGTGATAGACGGCAATTTGGAATATATGCAAAAATATAAATACAGCAGTTATATATATTTTATTCCTCCCTACGTCAGCGACTCTACATCTCCCCGCATTCTATCCATCATCAAGAAACATCAATCAGACGTTCACACAAGAAAAGAAAATACCCACCGACTATCTTCACAGCCAACTTGGGTCTATTATTCGGCCCAGTCGGTACGTTCTCAATCTTCCGTAACGTCAACATCCCATCTATCACTCGCCCGAACACGACGTGTTTCCCGTCTAGGAAGTCGCATTTTTCTGTCGTGATGAAGAACTACCATAATATTAAGAAAATCGAGTTAGAATAAAACTGGAATATAAAGGTAGATAGGTCCGTATTGCCGGAACCTCGACGACTTCGGACGATTACCTGACATCCATTCGTATTCGGTCCAGAATTAGCCTGTGAGCGGAACAAAAAACCACAGAACAACTAATTTAGCATACTTGATATAAATGAAACGCGAGCGAGGGCGTACCATAGATAACAATCCTGGTTTGTCGTGTTTCATTGTGAAGTTCTCGTCCTATTCTCATCATCAATCAACACAAGCTAGCCCGAACGGATATGTGGAGGAAATGGAATGGAAACCCACGGGGAATTTATCTCCGTAGATAGAGAACGAACCGGTTCCGTCTCCTTTGACAAAGTCGCCGCCTTGACACATGAAACTCGGTACCCTATAAGTACGGAAGAAGAACGAGGACGATGGGTTGAATATGAATATGGTTTAGTTCTAATGACTGAAGGCGTAGGAAAATGATATGAAACTTGCACTCTGTTCAACATAAATGACATTAGAACACATGAACTAAACGTAGAAGGATAGGATAAATACCGATGGAATATAGATCCTTTATACCCTTGCGGTCGCGAGTTCACCCTTCACCCATCATCAGCTCTCATATTCTACCATCAACACCGATCCGGTAGTTAGCAGACTAACCTATACTCCCCAGTACACAACTGCCTAAAGTTCTCCGAAGTCCTATCAAATCCCAAACGAAATTAAGCACACCCAAGCAAATACGACAAACAAAAAATAACAAGAGAAAGAGAAATACTAAAAGAATGCTGAAAAAGAATACTGACTTGGGAACGACATCACTAAACAACTCCATCTTCATCCTCCCAGCAGGCGTCTCCCCGATATTAATGTCGAAGAACACGATTGGTCGTTGTTGGGTTGTTTGTGCCATCGTTAATCGTCAATTGCTAATCGTTATTGGTATTTCGAATCTAATAAGAGAAAGGGAGGGAAGGAGAGAGATAGAGAGAGCAGTGACAAAAGACGAAGTAAATGCGATGAAATTCGAAATTTGGTTGGAGGGGCACGTTATCGTGTGGTGTCACGTGAGGAAAACGCGTTCAACGTGTCTCTGCAATCGGCAGAGTCAAAAAAAATATTGCAACGACTGTGACAATGTACAAGAACGCAATGCGGATGCCACTAGGAGTCCTCTAATACATCCTTGATATCTGATGTGAACAGTGAAGTACAATTCATTCTGGACCCACAGTACTAGTGAAACTGCTTTTTCGATTAGTGGGCCCCAATCAGTGTGTTTGCAGATGACCGGAATACAAGGCACCTGCACCGGGACTGGCAAGGACTGTTCAATTCAAGCTATATTATATCAGTTGTTCATACAGTGGTTGAATCTTTGTAACATTCAGCAAGCCTGGTTCATTAGCTGGTACTTAGTAGAAGACTTGAACATTCTAGCGATTCGAAAAGTAGTGTTGATGGAAGCAGAGATATTGAGGTATCGTGAGACGTTGATTCTTAGCTCGAGTGTGAAGGTGTGCCTAGCTTACATCCTGACAAAGATAGACAAGTAAATTGTACCGCTATACATGAGGTTTATGAAATCAATCTAGATTAACCACCATAGCATGTATTCTTAACCTGACTCCTATCTCGGGACAGCACATGCTTCCATAGATAGCCTGGGTAAGGATTAATCATACCAACCAGCCGAATAATCGAATGAATTCTTATTCCTAACAAAATAAAACGATGATCCGAGATTCACGTTCACTAATATCAGGATAAGTAAGGAGAGATAAAAAAGAAGAAAATGGTCACAGTCGGAGAAAGTTCGAGGATATACGGAGTGTGAGGGACGAAGGTTCAAACGGCAGCATGCACTGAAGCAAGAAAAAAATGAAAGTTATGACGGCGTTGCCGTAACCGCAGCGCTCGCTTAACCAACATTACGGGAACTCAGCATTCTGGCATGAGAAATTGTGGTAAAGTAGTTACCCGGATCGACTGAGAGATAATTTTGGCAATGGCGTGCACGAGTAGTGAGGAATCGGGAATCGGTAGGATGCACGCTTCTGATGCTGTAAGTATTAAGGTAGTGTAACACTGGGATAAGCTTCTCAATGATCCTGATGATTCTGCCCCACACAGATTCTCATGTGCATTGATGATCGGAAAGGCCGATGGCTCCTCGATCCATTGTAGAGGGTCAACTCAATTTATCCAGTAATATGGGTACGGCAAGGAAATAAGCTCGTCTTTTTGAATACGTCGGAGTCGGAGTCGAGGACTGGAAGGGCTGGAGCTGATGCATGACGTGTTGTAGGTGCAGACTGTGGGGTTACTTAATTACATTATGTAATATAGTTGGTCCATGGCGTCACGGTGCACACTCATACGTCATCGGTCTTTCCATGCTTATAAGGGCCGCTTTGGCTGCACGACTGTGTATTGAACAGAAAGCTATCAGCTAACCTATCACACTCACAACCATCGAGTAAAGGCTTTACTTGCATATATCAAATCTCCATATTCGACTCACCAAGTAACATGGTAAGTGTCTTTCTTTCGATATTAAACACATGCGATAAATTGCTTAATCGTTATTAACTTAATAGGGTTCTATCGTATCTGCAATTGGCCGCGGACTCATCGCGATTATCAGTGCTATCGCAGCTGTAATCGAGACTATTATCTCTGCCATCGTCGGTGTATGTCTTCATTTCACCTTTCTCAGTAGTAACTCATTTACTGAACATCTCATGTGAATTCAGGTTATTGTTACCATCTTTTACGTCATCGAGGACATTCTGTGCTGCCGCTGCTTTGGTGGGCGCTCACGATCCAGAAGAGGCGGTTATGGTAGTAGGTACGGCGGAAGGGGCTTCGGGCGCTCCAGGAGGGGCGCTGCAACTGGAGGAGGAGGAATGTATTGAATTTGAATTCCCCTTTTTAACACATGTTGTATTTGCATTTGTATACCCGTTTAGGGACCAATTACCCTATGTACCCCTGCTGTAATGATTTTTTTGAAGAGCAATGTCAAGACAGTAAAGGCAGAAAGGCACAACAATAAGCGATTTGAAAATGTCGATCCATCCTGTTCAGAATTTAGTTATTTTATAATGCATGTGAGTTTATAAAGCAGAGTAGAACTTCAGTTAGAATGGACAAATACTTTGCCTGATTTAAGTTATGTTACAATTGCAAGGTTCATTTAACCAGTATTTGATCCTCTCAGCCATGCAAAAAATAATTTTAAGTTGAAGGGTATAAGCACAATTGAGCATATTGTAATACTACTCTAGATTTTTAAGGAGAGTAATTTAAATTCAATAGTATTTTGTATACTCCTAGTACCTGCCACCATACCTATTTGCATAAGATCCTGCACTATGCATGCATAAGCGTGCTTCCACCAATACAGAAGCAACATAATATGCCTCCAATAACATAACAACAAGAACAGTTACTATTATCTAAATTCATAAGAACCTTAGTAAGTGAACAATCACTAGGTAGGAGGATATGTAAAGACATATACTAGCAATGGCAGGGATAACATTCTCAATTACAGTTGCAACAACACTGATAATTGTATTGGTTCTGCAGACAAGGATAGACATGATAGAACTCTATTGAGTTAAGAACAATTATACAGGTAATTGCATGTATACACTATATAATGTTGAAAGGAAGTGCCTACCAAGTTATATAGTAGATAAGGGTAATTATATTCGATGTGTGTTTTCTCAACTTTCGCTTGTTGATATAAGTATGGAGGGAACGTTGATAATTTTGGAGAGCAATGTGTCTGCAACTTAGACGCGCCTGCAACATCCCAAGCTCTGCTCAAAAACTTCCCATTTTTGGAAGCAAGGGCAACAACACATCTCTAGTTTAGAGGACCGTACAACTTGCATCTTGGCAGTGGAACGCTCTCCAGAATACCACGGTTCTAATGTCGGTGGTGTACCCCCGAGAAAAGTGTCGGGTGTTGGATGGATTCAGAACAACGACGGGTAGAGTTGCCTGGATGCTACCAAAAAAGGGAGTATCTCGAGCGGAGATTGAAATCTTGTCGGCGCGTATAAGTTGCAGACACCTCACTCTCTAAAATGTTATCCACCTTTCCTCCTGACTTATATCAACAAGCGAAAATCTCGCGAGAACATTAGTGAATCTACTTACTCCTATCCATCATATAACATGGTAGGCACCTTCTTTCAATATTGCACAGCAGACACATGCAATTAACTGTGTGATTCTTGGTAACTCAATATTGGATCCATTGTATCTGTAATTACCCGCGGTATTAACACAGTTATCGGAGCCACTGCGGTTGTGGTTAACACTATCATCTGCAGTATCGTGCTTGTATGCCTGCACATTTCATCCTACCTAGTAGTTATTCATTTGCTAAACAATCTTATGAATCTAGATAATTGCTACACCCTTTTTCGTCATTGGGGGACTGTTGTGCTGCTGCTACCTTGGTGGAAGCGTGGTTATGAATTTGAGAGCCTTTTACTCCGATATTTACGGCGGCAGACGCTTCGGGCGCAAGAGGAAGGACACTGCATCCGAGGAGGATAGTATTATATTTTAAATCCCTCTTCTTAGCAAAAGTTGAATTTGTATTGGTATACCCCCTAAGAGACTATGATCTATCCTATGTACCCTGTTATAATGACATTTTGGAGAGCAATGTTGAGAGATTTAAGACAGCAAGATACATGACAAGCGATGTGAGAACATGATTCCGAAACCAATAACATGCACTGTCCAGGATTGGGTATTCCACAGGAGCATGTGAATTTGCAAAACAAAGCAAAGCTTAAGATGAAATGAACCGACTGATTGACAATGGAAAGGAACACAACAATTGCACAACAAATATAACATAAGCTTTCAGACATAATGTTTAGCTAATCGGTAGTTGGTAATTAATATCAAATTCATCTCCACTGCAGGATAGAAGAAGTCGCGTACCTGCGGGAGTGAAATAGGATGCGGTTTGCCTCTCTTCGAGTCGCCCTCGGTCCACGGAATAAAACGTATCGGGAAGCTGCTCATAATTTATTGTAAGCCACACGGTACTATACGTCACGCGGCATGAGAAATGACGCACCTCTGGGATATAAGATCCGCTTTGTGCGGTATCATGTCCCTTCCAGCTTCCACTTGTAAGCTCGGAAGAAGTAATACTGGGCCCTGGTTCACGTGCCCCAGTCACTTCTTGCATCGAATCGATTGCATGACGGAGGCGCATGATACTCTGTTGCTCATATGTATCGTCAAAGACGAAGGGAACCTGTCCGCGGGCGTCTGGCGGCGCGCTTGCGGGAACTACCTCGGGTTCGCACTCGTCCTCTATGACGGAAGAGAGATGCGCGGTTGGTGAGATGTTGTCCATGTTTCCGAGGTAGGAAGAAGGCTCGGAGTGGACAGGAGCCAAGCCCGGATAAGGTGCCGAAAAGGACGAAAATGTAGGCAAGGGAGGCACAGAGTAGGCACTTTGTGGGAACGGGCCGTAAGTCGAAGCCTGGTAAAACGGAGCCGGAAGAGTACGCTGGACATCGGGAACACTGGAAACTGAGGGACTTGCGGGTCCAGGTAATGTTTGGTATGCTGGCAGGTCGGATGAACTCCCAGCTCTCGGTAGGTAAGGCGACGGCTGAACAGGTCTGCTATTAGTGTAAGTTGCCTGCATTTGTCCGAGTTCGCTAGCATTGTCAATGGGCAAATCGGTCTTGCACCGTGTCAGAGACGAAATACTGTGGAAGGAACTAGACATTGTCGATCCAGACGCGTCGGAGCCTGGCGAGGGTGGCGGCAGACCAGACAATATTGGTGGACTCGCGCCTGAGCTGCTTCCGGCTCCAGTCCCGAGGAAGCCGCCTGTAAACGAGCCTTCAACCGGACTGCGAATCGCCGGATCTTGAGTCAGACCGCGCAGGTCAAGCGCACTCGAGAAACTTGCCGGCGGACGCTTAGCTGGGAGGGCGATCAGTGACAGCTGGCGGAGTCTTTCTTTCTCATTACAGAGTCCGTTCCCACTGGCATTGTTATTCTGGTTATTTTTAGAGCTGATGAGCCGCTCTCGACGCGGTGAGGGTGTTGGGGAAGTCTCGCGGAAAAATGCATTGCGAGACACAGATGGACGGCGGTTGCGCTCTGATGGGCGTCTCCGACTCGCCAGCCCATGGAGCGCCTGCATGCGGGAGACGAGAGAGAGCGAGCCTGGGTTGGAATTAATCATGTCAATAGCTGAAATCGGGGAAGGGATCTCCTCATCGCTCATGTCAATGGGCGAGTTTGCGGCCGGAGACGGGGGGTTGGCGGAGGGAAGGTGGACCTCTGGCCATTCTTCGGCTGAGTGGCCTACGGAGGGAATAATGTTAGTGCAAACACGTACACTATAAAACCTTAAAAAATGCAAAAATATTCACTGTATTTTTCTGACTGCTTTGCCGAACCCGAAAGATGGCAAATACAATGCGTGGAGTCTACTGGCTGCCACGGGATCACCTCTTGACGTGATTGAAACCGCATCTGAATTTGATTAAATAAATTGAGTAAATTAAATTAGCGCAATACAGGGGCACACTAAAACATAGATAACGCACCGTCTTGCGGAACACTTCAAAAATGCGCGTTAAGCGAACGAGTGGGTTGGCGATGACATGAAGAATGACATTATTCTGTGACACTGAGGGGTTCAGTTCTGGATGAAGATAGGAACTGACACGTTTACCTCCTGTAGCTTTGTAGCTACTGTATCCCATTTCGTGTCGTTGACCTGGGTCTGCTGATTTGGGATATCAGGTTTCCCAGGGGCTTCGTCGATGGGATTCGACATGGCCACGACGAATACATGCCTCGTCGTGGGCATCTTCGGGTCATTACCTGACAGAAACAGCTAGAAGGGGAGAAAATTAACGGGCTCAGTTCATACAGACGGGCTGTAGGACAGGAGGGATAAACGCACGTCGATCGATTGACGGATAAAGAGCGGGGACAACTTGTTCTGTGGCAGACCGACGATGTCGATATCTGGAAAATCATTGAAGTGGCGCTGTGACTTGTACGCCGGCCGTTGGTCTTGTGTTTTCCCCGTCGTCTCCCAAAATATTTGTACCTAAAGAAAGGGAGGAAGACACATCGGGAAGTGTCCGGACGTATTGCGCCATTCGGGCGCAAGCTGCTGAGTTACTCACGTTGATACCAGGATTCGCAATGCGCACGGCGCCCAAGACGCCTGGGAGTATATGCTGCTGGAGGTCTGGCCAATGCTCCAGCATGGGGAGCGAGTTTTCTATGAGAAGGAGGACATGGACTGCCTGCCCGGGACGAGCGGAGCCAAAGACTGCCGAAGGCGGCAGCTGTGCCATAAGATGATAAACTGGGGGGGATTAAACGCTTGTGCAAAGGCTAAGGAAATGACCAAACGCGTTGGAGCGGATCTTGCGAGTTTTTGAAAAATGGAAGAGGGGCGGAACGGAGAGCGGATGCGCAATGTGGCAATCGATAGCGGAGTGAGCAAATCAGGCTGATCGCGGAGAGACGAGAGATGGAGAGTGGTGAGGTAGCCTGTTTCGCGAAGGTGGGTGTTTGATCTCAAGTCACGGGGACACGGGAGCACATACGCGTAGTTAAAGCAAGGAGGACCCACAAGCTGACTGCGCTAGGGAGCAGAACACACCAGTAGGAGCACTAAGCAGACACGGTGAGAAGCAGAAGATCCGTTGCACGCGCGCTCGGCGCGTACGTACTCGGATACGTATCGCGGAGAGGTTCCACGCAAGCAGGCAAGGACTAATAAAGCAAGTGATATAGGAGTGGTTCTGCGCGCTGTTAAAGTTCTACGGGGTCAGGGTAAGCGAGGCGGTTACCGCGTCGGCAGTGTCTAAAGGCAAAAGAACACGCTACGCGACCCCAGAGGCTGGCGATGTGGCAAGTCGCGGGACACGGAGCACACAAAGAGAAGGTCAGCTCGTATCGTCCCGAACGGAACGAAATCGTTGGCTATATCCAGCAGATCACTATTCTCGCGGCCGCTTTGGCCCTGCAATGGAAACACAACTGAGATCCTCACACAAGCCAACATGGTAACAAAAGTTAACACTTGACCACCGTGAGAGTAAATTACTTTTTGTGATTATTAGTAAGATGTGTCACGCTTATCAAGTATGTCACACATATCACGCCGTTACCATGCAGCAATACCGCGCGTGTATACAATGAGTATTGCCCACTTGCCTCTCGCCATCGTCGTCGTCCACCGTAGAGCAACTCTTAATTATCAATCATGGCTGCCGTAGCACCGTCATCGTCGCCTATTACTCAGGTCTCTCAGCAGCCGGCGCATACAAATCTACAGCCTCAGCTGTTGACGCGCCTCCAGCTAGACTTGCGTGGAGAGCGCTTCTCCGTGGACCGCGAGACAATCATGAATCTCCCCGAATCTGTCCTGCTCTGCCTCTTTCCAAATGGTCTTGTCCTGAGTAGGCAGAGCGTCGCTCTCTCCGATGGCGGAGAAAACGAGGAAGATGAGGAGCTTTATGCCGTCGACGTATGTCCCACTCTTGCCGTCTGCATCCGGGTTCTCCAGCGCTAACGGAACCAAATCTCTCCAAAAAATAAGTTTGATCCCAAGTGTTTCTCCTATGTACTCAACTTCTTCCGCAATGCCTCGGACACTTTTTATGGGACTGCCACTACGCCGGGTCTTTTTGCAGCTCAGCAACATCTTGCCGAGAACGCTCCGGCATCCGATTTTGGCCCTTCTTTGTCTCAAAATCCATTGGTCACCAAGCAGGCAATCATCGTCCTGCGAGAGGAGCTCGAGTACTTTTCAATTCCTCCCAAAGACGGAAAAGCCTCCACTGATGCGACGGGCATTGCGAATGACGCGCTACTGGAGATAAAGCGCCAATGCGGCCAGGTTCTTCTGGAGAAGCGCAACATCTTCACCGCTCTGCAGCGGAATGTGAATAAAGAGAACAACTTGGCAGAACAGCACTTGATAGACATGTTGTGCATGAGGTATGTCTCTTCTCATTCGAATTTACAATTACGGAGAACTGTGCATCTATCGTCGTCAGATGATTCAGACGGACAACCGTACCGCCGCTTTTCTACACGGATCCTGCAGCATACTCTCAGTCTCCTGACCAAATTGACGCACTTCGCTTCTAATGGAATGTCTCGCTAATAACTGCGATAACTGATGTTATTGTTTATTTAAATAGTGGTTTTGATCGGGAGGATGAGTGGGGTTTCCGAGCGCTGGAGCCTTCGCGGTGTTGTATCTCATCGATTGCGCTTGTCCTATTGAAGACCGGCATAGTCCATAACGGGCCTCCTTATCAGAGCGAACCTGCTGTCACCATTGACTACAACCAGATGGCGACGGCGCAAAAATTGCTTCTTTTCTGGCGGAAACCTGCGGTAAGATAGCAGTATACACATATGACTCGTGCACGTCTGACTGCATGTTTTTCCTATATTTTCCAGCGCAAATGTTGGTGGGATGGTGTTGAAGTAGAACTCAACCGTCCTGGGCAAGATCCGCTCAATGTGAAACTGTGGGCCCGTCGTGTTTGGACATTGGAACTCAGCTTAGTACGTGCAATCGGCGTTTGCCTATCTAATGCATCCTCGAGAACTGACTCGTATATTGCGCATGTCAGATTTAGGAGACAGGATTTGATTTGATTTTTAACTGTCCATTAAATTGCTCTCAGATGGTCATATTATTTGGTACTATTCACATACGTAGATACCCCTCGCGCATTCAATGTAAACAGCACATGGAATCCATGCTATTTCTGATTGAATTAACCCCTAAATATTTCATTATTGTGTCCTTGATTCGTTTATTCAGTTCACTTGCTTGTTGGTCGTTGTGGCACGTGCTTCTCAGTGACGTCAGCACTATTCATCTGATCTGAATGCAGCAAAACAAATTGAACAATCGATTTGGCTTCATCTCCGCTGCCTTGCCCGGTGCTACGTGTTTGAATAGAACTTTCATCTACCACTAGTACTCTCATCTGCCTCGGACTGTTCCGTGGTAACCAAACTCTGTCATGTCTGAAGTACAGGCTGAAACAACCGTCGACCTTGAAATCCTGGTTGACCTTGAGCAGCAGTATGAAATTCAATTCATAGTTTGGTATTGTTCACGCATTGGCCAATTCACTAGATTCTATGACGTGGGCTACAAGGACGGCGTGGAACATGGGAAGATTCATGGCCGAATAGAAGGAAGAGAGTTGGGAAGAGAGAAGGGCTTCGAGATGTGGGAGGAACTGGGCTTTTATGAGGGCTTCGCAAAGTTTTGGGACGCCGCCTCGCACCGTCAGGAAGGTAAAGATAGGTGGGTATGTGTCCTTCGCCGTCTTGTGTGTGGGACTTAAATGGAATCATCTGATCTAACCTGGTGTCAATTGTCGTGCAGCCGTGTATCTCATAATGCGCAGCTTCTGCTAGACCTGATTACTCAGTTTCCGATGGAGAACCCTGCGCAGACTGATTCCGCAGACATTGATATCCCGAAGCTCTTTAACCAAATACGTGCACGGTATAAGATGCTGTGCGCCATAATGGGTGTCAAACCGAGTCTCAGAGTAGCAGCAGCATCTCAAATGCAAACTCGTGAAGAAGAAAGTGGTGCAAGCAGTACCGTGGCGGCGGCGGAGGACGGCGGAGTGAAGACGCAGGTGGTGCCAATGAAGAAAGCCAGCGTGTGGCCGATTGAAAGCTCCGAGGATTCTGGAAGGGTAGACTTTAGCTTCTGATGCCCGCTGCTGTAGCTGCTGCCGCGCTACTTTCCTTGATGTGAGTGCGACGGAACTGAGTTTACGTGCACCTATCGCGCTGAGCTTGAGCGAATCTAACTTGCCAAGGTCACTATTGCTGCTTAGGGCTCGGTCCCGTACCGTATTATACGGATACGGCATTTTCGTATACGGTGCCGTACCGTATCCGTATAAAAAATTTGACTCAAAAATACGGCACGTATTTTACGGGCCGTAACCGTATATAGTCTGTATAATACGGACCGTATACGCCTGTATACGATATACGGCTACTAAATGAAAGAAACTCTCTCTCTAAACATAATACTGAAGCTCTAATAAGTAGTATTCAATGTTCAGACACTTATACTAGCATTTAGTAATATATTCAGCACTATTATTGTAAAAGTATGTGCAATCTGATATATATTCCGATATATACTATAATATAGGTACATCACATGACTCGACTTTATGACAAATATCACAGACTAAATTACATAACAAAATGTCAATAAGTCAAATTTTATACATTTCATGTAGATTAAGGCATAATATAGGTAGAATTCAATATTTCTATACTAAAGAGGTAATATCACAATGATGTAGCCCCTTACATCTCATGCTACACCTTGGTAAATGTAGCAACTACGCTGTATCCGTATATGGCGTATACGTTCCGTATACGGCCGTACCGTATCCGTATAGGTTTTCGGGTTCAGAAATACGGCACCGTATTATACGAGCCGTATCCGTATAAAGGTCGTATTATACGGCCCGTATCCGTATACGGTACGGTACCAAGCCCTATTGCTGCTGCCAGCTCCTCTCGTGCCATTGGCGCTTGATAGCTCGGTGCTATTATCCTCGCTTGTGTCCCCTCACAGCATTCGATCTTTCGTCCGATCCTGGAGACTTGATTCAGATATGTCTGGAATATGCGGGAAGCATCGCTGCTTGTATGTATGTCTCAACGTTACCTTCCCCTTGGCTTTGATCGTTCATTTGATGGATTTTAGTTGTGCGTCCATTGACAATTGTCAAGTCAAACCCCACTAAAATGGTGCCTCTTAAGCTATTGGTTGCGAGCATTTATTCATTTTGAAGTCTGACTTGTACCTATCGTCGTACATCGCACTTTTGTGCAGAGTCTGACAAGGCAATATAGGTGCATGTAGGCAATATAATCGAATATAAGGACCCACAATATACAAAAAATATGTCTTAGCCATATATTCCAATACAATTTTGTGTTCGTTTTGGTGATGTAGATAGCGTTAGTTTGTCATTAGTTAGTCATGTGGAGCAACTGCACTGGACCAACAAGGTCCTCTAGATGGAATTCATAATCCATATCATCTTTGTTAGGGATACTACTACAGCGCCCCAGAGGGCGTGCCAAAACGATTGTTTGACTGACTGATATACAAGTTCCGTATGTTACCGCTTACTATGCGCAGCAATTAGAATTGGACTCCTGTCCCTCCGAGAATGCAGCGCAGCTCTTTGGGTCATTTGCAGCAGGAATATCAAGTGAGGGATTTGTCCGGAAGAAGTTCTGTGGTTTGAAGTACACGTTGAGATGCTCCGAGGGCATACTATTTTCGCAAATAAACAAATAAATCAAACAAAAGGGGCGCGTTAGTTTATTTGAGACGATGTTATCGGATTTCGCATTAAAAGACAGAAGTGGACGTACACTGGCCAATCTTCAGGACGCGGGATATGATTCGTACCTGTAACAATAGAACGAAAAACTTTCGTTAGTCATAAGGTCGGTAGGATGGCACGCTAGTACAACGGACCCAATGTAAGATACAGCACTATGTCTTCGTTATCGATGTTCGCATTCTCCTTGGCCCACGACCCGAGTGAGTCTGTAGGCTCCTCACGCGTCTGCGGCACATACTTCCCTGATGGATAGATACGCGAGCCATCAGCATCTTCCTTATCCTTGACGACCCAGAGCGCCTTCGTTCCGAAAAACGCGCGTTTCTGTATCCAGGACTTCTCTTTCGCAAGGAGCGTCTGTACAGCGCCCTTCATAGCGATACCATACCCGGGCTGTGCACCTGTAGAGTAGTGGGGCGCCACGTTGGGATTTACGATACGCCAGCGCCGGTCGCGGTCGAACGAATAATCACGCATACCCTCAAGTGACGTTTTGAGGATGCGTGATTCGGTCGTGAATGCGTTGCCTGCGAAGTTCTCGTCAGAGCCCGTGGGTCCCGGCGCAGGTACTACGTCTAATTCAAGCATGCTATTTGAGAGACCATCGACCATTGGATCAACACGAAGAGAGAATAAGTGTTGATGATAGTGCGCGTTGATGTTCTTTGCAACGGTTGTTCCATATGGATTTGCTTCGTTGTCGGCTCCCACGTAGACCTGCAGGATCCCAGTAAGGCGGACTTCGAACTCGACTGTGCCGTCTTGGTAGAACCTATAATTCCAGATGTATTCTACCCGCGAGTTATTATACGTTTGCAGAATCCCGTAGAGTTGAATGGTTTACCATAGTTGGCCAGGGTGCAGCACATGCTAACTACAAGGCGTCTACTGCGTGCTGCGAATGAACGACCTCCGGGCCGGTAATCGGTATGTTTCCAGAGAAGTCCATTGTCTTCTTCATGAATGCAAATAGCGTTCTTGATCTTAATCGCGCTACCGTTGTGCCCGACATAGCATCCAGGCTAGATAGGAAAGTGAGTTAGCGGCTTCTTAGCTAACACGTTTGAACTTACAAGATAGTGGATTGCTCCGACACAATCACAGCCTAGTGAGAGGTCGTTCGCCATCGTACCCATACCATATTCTCCGCTAAACACGGTGAGGGTGGAGGAGAACATAGTGTGATTGGAACTTACGCATCAAAAGCGAACTTTCTTGGATGAGGAAATTCAGGTGCCCCATATGGTACAATCATTTCGGCCAAAGAGAGGCGATAAAATACGGGACGAAGAGTACCTTCATCGTTATAAGTAACGGTAGAGATGACTATACCTTCACGATGGTGGAATGCTACGACCCAAATATTATTAGAACGATCAGGGATACAAGAGAACAGATGCAAAATATACAGATATGCATCTTCCACTTTTGCCATTCGAGTTCATGGCCGTTCATCGTGAAACTGACACCTTCTGGCTGGATGATATGTAATGGCTTGATGTCATCTCTGGGCTTGTAGTTCTTCCCGCGGAGGTCGGGCAGGAAATCAAACGTCTCCGTTGGAACCGGAATGCGATCACGCTTGGCGTTAGTTAACGTGTCCTCTTCGAGTGGCCTTGGAAGTGTGTTTGAGACAGACAATTTGCCACTGGCATCTCGGTGTGGAGGGAAGTCAATATGGATAACCTTGCACGCATTTGAGTCAAGGACTGGAACAAAGTCCTAGGGTCGGATTATGAGCAATTAGTCTCTTGAGGTAATTATTTTAGAGGAAACCCTACGAGAGGATGTGCGTAAAGATTCTCATGAGTCCCGAATCGCGCAAATACGAGCGCTTGCTGGACTCTCATATTCGTGGGGAAGCGTTCATCGTAACCAATAGACCAACCATCACAAGCAATATTCTCTGTTTCAAGACCTACAGCCAAACATAAGCTGATTGCTATGATTTAAGCTTGGAACTAACCGAGTTCCTTGACAAGAGCAATGACGCGTGCATCTTTCTTGACAACATCTTCAGCCATAGCTAACTCTTCAACTGAAATTTGAGGCTGCGTGCCCTTTGGCAACTTGGTTAGTGTATCTACTATCCATTTCCCATCCTTTAGGCCCAAGGTAACGTTGTATGCATCTCTGGAGAACAAATAATTTGAGAAAGTGGCAAGTCAGTCTCAAAATCGCGCTTACCCCGTGATCAAGTCAATAAACTAAGATCCGAGCTGATAAGATAAGAAGAGTCTAGCAATAGAAAAGCAGGGACTCACATCCGATCCTGCACGTCTATCAACCCTGGGTGGTGCTGCCGCCGGTTTCTCTCCTGTCGTAAGCGGGACTCCGAGGAATGCCAATACATCCCGCTTAGGTGGAGGAATGAGATTGCTTGTGATAAATTTGAGAGCTTTGATGCCATTCTTTCCAGCAGCATGTGACCGGATTTCTAGTGAAATTGCAGTGATCTTCCGGCAAAATCAGTAACCCTTGCATAGACCAAAGACACCGAAAAAAGAAAAATATTAATGACCTCGTCGGGACTTAACGGGTCGAGCGGATGCTCGTTTGAAGAAAACGACGCGCCGGACTTTGGAGCATGCTGGACCCTGGTAGCCGTTCCCGGCACATGATGACCAGTGTCTAGGGCATTGGCAAGGATGGACGCCATTTTCTAGATGCCCAAGAGGATGAGAGTACTGTGTGAAAGCCCAGAACACCAATAGCCAGTATATATATGCATCCGGAAGAGACTTGTCCGAGTGACCAAGACCGCGGGACACGAACGGTGATAAGACAAGGTCGCGGCGACCACATGAACACAGAACAGTGACATCCCGACATCCCGTTATCTAAGCCGTCAGGATAAAGCACTTATGGTGCTGCATTTTACATAAAAGAATCGTCCGCCGATCAGGTCGGCCATTCTGTTATTCTGTCTTGCTCCTCCACTAACTGTCTCTGTTTTCCATTTTACGAATAGACCGATGTTTTAATTTTATGAGAAGTACCCGCAGTTACGGATTGGCTACACAAGGGTCAATCGACTTGTGCATTTTTGACAAAACCCTGCATGCACAATCTGAGCCGGTAATATACTATTTCTTCTTTAGTTTGAGTGTACATATAACGCAAATAAGACTATATAGTACGAAGTGAAGTAAATAAAACGCGTAAGAGAAATTAGAGTCGACTCTTACATTTGGCACTCCGAATCTACTATATATGTAGTAAAGTGTGTTTATGACATTGCTAGCTCTCACACAGTAGTCAATACTAGCATGTGGTCGACCCTTTTCTCTTACTGTACCAACGTGAATATTTGATTTGAATACTAATCATGTTAGAGGTCGGAAGCAGCCACAGTAGATGGCTGCTTATTCTCATGTCTAGTCCGAACCAAGATGAAAGAACGGCGTGATTGTCAATGCGTAATACTTCTTTGATTGCAAGTATGAAACATTCTGACATAAACCAAGGATTTACTGTTATTCGTTATTGTATTTTACTGTAAGAATGATCTAGAGCTTATGCAGTTGCGTCCACAATAAGCCATCGCTTCGTTTCAGCTCGAGCCAACATACGACGGTTTTGAGACATGTTAGATCTGTGTATAAATAAGACATGAAGAACGAGAAACAACTCATTGCTTCTTGCATTCTTACCCTACCATTGTCACCCAGCCTCACGCATTTACTACCAAACCCCCATCCGCATATTCCGTACAGCACAATGTACACCATCACGTTCAACGCGTCGGTTGTCCTCCTGCCTCTCGAGAGCGGGATTCTGCCTTTCCCGCTGAAACGCGACGTCATCGAAACACTCCCTCGGCTTGGAAGGCCAGAGTACGGGTCTGAAGATGAGGGCGAACTAGCCACTCTCCTCGTTAGTAAGTCCGTACGAAGGATTTCCGACCGCCTCAGCGGAGTTTTTCGTCGTCGTGATCGCCAGCGCGGAGTCAAGGTTGTCCCCTCTCCCAAGGTCAACGACGTGGACGATGTCGCCAGCAACAACGCGATAATGTGGTTCACTAGCGCCGACAACTGGCGTCCTGGCTTGCTACCTCTCGAGCAGGCTGCGCGTCGCGCGGATATCGTAAGGAGACCCGAGGCATTCGAGCGCATCTGAAGCTGTTCGCGAAGGGAGGGTGGATGCGTTTTATGGAGATGCATATCCAGAGAACATACCGCCCGAACTGAGCTCAGCCTTCTGGCGGTCAAATTTCTAAGCGTCCTAGAAATTGGTCACTGCCTTGTGTCTAGAATGAGAAGACCTGGATTCAGCGTCACCTGTGGTTGGCGCAGAGAATGAGACGAGTACCCGCAGTTCTACTTGCTACAGTACACTGACGTTTCTCTACAGATTTAGAGTTGAGTTGAGCTAGCGTCAGCTATTGAACGAAAGGGGATGTTCGTGAGGCAGGTCGCGCCTGATACAAACATTGGAACACGAGGTGAACAGGAGACCGGGATTCCATTCTCCCCGCTTAAATGCGATACCATCGACACACTCCCTCGGTTTGGTGAGCCAGAGTATGGGTTTGAGGATGAGGGTGAACTAGCCACTCCCTTCGTCAGCGAATCTGTGCCGAGGCTTACCGGCCGCCTCAGCGGAGTCAAGGTCATCCTCAGAGTTCCTGCTTCTCTATTTGTCGCGTTTCACTAAATGTTCCCTACAGATTTCGAGTTGCTTTCCCGCTTATACGCGATACCATCGATGTCCTTCCCCAGTATGGGAAGCCAGAGCACAGGTTTGAGAACGAGGGCGAACTAGCCACTCCCCTCGTAAGCAAGTCTGTGCCGAGGCTTTCCGGCCGCCTCAGCGGGGTCTCTCATCGTCGCGATCCTCAGCGCCGGGTCAAGTTGTCTCTCTACCGAAGTCGACGACGCGGGCGATGTCGATAACGACAATAGGTTAACGTGGTTTACCGTCCCTAGCAACTTGGCGTCCTGGATTGCTAGGCTGCACGTCGTGCAGATATCATAAGGAGACTCGAGGCGTTCGAGCGTTTTTGAGGCTGTTCGAGAAGGGAGGCTCAGGGCGGATGCCTTTCTGGAAATATCTCTCCAGAAAAATGTCTGCACCCGGACTGAGCTAAGCTATCCGGCGTTTCAGTTTTGCAATATAAGTGTCTTTTAAGTTGTTCACTGATCTGTTTTGCGTAGGACCAGACGATTTGGATTTGGCGTCACCTGAGGTTGGCGCGAATAACATGAGACGAGTGTCCGTGCCCCTACTTGTTACGGTTCGCTGATGCTCATCTGCAGATTTGGCGTCGAGCCACCGCCGGCTATCGAACGAGAGGGTGCATCCACCATAGACAGATTGAGTCGAATGCGAGGGCTCGAGTACGAGATGGAGAGTAGACCGGAATTCTGCCTTTCCCGCTTAAGCGTGACACCATCGCCGCACTCCCCCCGGTTTAGAAAGCCAGAGTACGAGTTTGAAGACAAAGACGAACTGGCCACTCCCTTCGTCAACAAATCCGTACCGAGGCTTTCCGACCCCATCGCCAAAGTCATTCGCCATCGCAGCCATCAGCCCTAAGTCAAGGTCGTCCTCTCTGCCAGGAAATATTTTGGTCAGAACTGAGCTAAGCTGTCCAGCATTTCCGTTTTGCAGTCCAAGAGTCTGAGAAGTTGTTCACTGACCTATCTTGCACCTAGGACTAGACGACCCGGATTCAGCATCGCCAATGGTTGGCACGGACATTGAGACGAGTATCCGCATTTTTACTTGTGTCAGTCCACTGATTTTCCTCTAAAGGTTTGGAGTTGAGTCGGTGTCAGCCACCGAAAGAGAGAGCTTGGCTCCAGGAGGCCGAGTTTCCACCTTTCCCGCTTATCCGTGATTCCAACGACGCACCCCCACGATTCGAAAAGCCAGAGTACGGGTTTGAGGACGAGGGCAAACTGGCCACTCTTCTCGCCAGCGAGTCTGTACCGGGGTTTTCTGACCACATCGCAAGGGCCTTCCCTCGCCGCGATCATTAATGCTGGAAGACCAGGATGCAGCGTCACCTATGGTCGGCGCGGATAACATGAGACGAGTGCCCGTGTCTCTACCTGTTAAAGTTTGCTGGTGTTCATCTGCGGATTTGGCGTTCGAGCCAGCGTCGGCAATCGAACGAGAGAGCGCATCCACCATGGACAGATTGAGTCGAACGCGAGCACCCAAGGACCAGATGAACAATAGACCGGAATTCCGCCCTTTCCACTTAACTGCGGCACCATCGATGTGCTCCTTAGAAAGCCAGAGTACGGGTTTGAGGATGAGGGTGAACCAGCCGCTCTCTTCGTCAGCAAGTCCATGCCGAGGTTTTCCGACCGCATCGCCAAAGATTTTCGTCGTCGCAGCTGTCAGCAACGAGTCGAGATCGTCCTCTCTGCCAGAAAACGTTTCGGTCAGAACTGAGCTAAGCTGTCCGGCGTTCCTGTTTCACAGCCTAAGAGTCATAGAAATTGTTCACTGACTCGTCTAGTGCATAGGGCTAGAAGAACCGGATTCGGCGTTGCCTGTGGTTGGCGCGGACATTGAGCTGAGTACCCGTGCCTCTACTTGTTACAATTTGCTGATGTTCATCTGCAGATTGGCGTTGAGCCACCGTCGGCTATCGAATGAGACAGCGTAACCACCATAGCCAGATAGAGTCGAATGTGAGCACCTGAATTCGAGATGAACAGTAGACCGGAATTCCGCCTTTCCCTCTTGAACGCAACACTAGAGATGTGCTTCCCCGGTTTAGAAAGCCAGAGCACGGGTTTGATGGTGAAGGCGAACTGGCCACTCTTGTCAGCAGGTCTATACCGGGGCTTTCCCACCGCATCGCCAAAGTCCCTCGTCGTCGCAGCCATCAGCGCCAAGTCAAGGTCATCCTTTCTGCCAGGAAACGTTTCGGTCCGAACTGAGCTAAGCTATTCAGCGTTTCAGTTTTGCAATCTAAGGTTCCTAGAAGTTGTTTACTGACCTATCTTGCACCTAGGACTAGACGACCCGGATTCAGCATCACCTGTGGTTGGCATGGACATTGAGCCGAGTACCCGTGTTTCTACTTATTTTGTCTGCTAATTTTCCTCTATAGGTTTCGAGTTGAGTCAGCGTCAGCCACCGAACGGGAAGCTTGGCCACTAGGAGACTGGGATTCCACCTTTCCTGTTTATACGCGGCACCTTCGACGCACTCCCGCGGTTCGGGTGGCCAGAGTACAGGTTTGAGGATGAGGGCGAACTGGCCACTCCTCTCATCAGCAAATTTGTGCCGAGGTTTTCCGACCGCATCGCCGGGGCCCTTCAACATCGCGATCGCCAGCGCATGGTTAAAGTCATCGTCTCTACCAAGGTCAGCAACACGGATCATGTCACAAGCTAACGTAGTTCACTAGTACCAACAACTGGCGCCCTGGTCTGATACCTCTCGAGCACGCTGCGCATCGTGCTGTTCGTCGAAGGAGGGCGGGCGTTTTTCGTAGAGATGCCTATTCAAGAGACGTTTCGGTCGTCCGAATACAGCTAAGCTATCCGCCGTTTCAGCTTCTAAGTCTAAGGGTCTCAGAAATCTGTTCACTGACTTGTCTTGTACCTAGGACTAGAGACCCCGGATCCGGCGTCCCCTGGAGCTTGCGCAGATAACATGAGACGAGTACCTGTGTTTCTATTTATTACAGTTCACTGATGTTTCTCTACAGATTTGGCATTGGGCTTTCAGTTGGCGTCAGCTATCGGACGAAAGCGAGGCTTCTACGAGAATCACTGGTCGGATGGATGCCTTTGCATGCAAGGTGGATGGCGTACGTAGTTCAGTAGTGTAGCCTTCTCGGCGGCAGTGAGACTGCCGGGCTTGGGTGCCCTCAAGACATCAAGACACCACATGGTTCAAGACTCAAGAGATGTGCATCAAGAATGTGAGGCCTCAGAGTCGACTTCGGGTGGTTTTTGCCTGCGTTTTCCCCCCCAAAGTCCTGAGATTAAGTAAGAGCCCAAGACTACAGTTAAAGGGGGGGTTTTTGCCTGCGTTTTCCCCCCGCCGAGGTCATGAGTTTTAAGTAAGAGCTTAAGTCAGGGGCCCCTGAAGTTGTGAGTTTAAGTAAGGTCATGAGTTTAAGTAAGAGCCTAAGTCTGGGGGGGGGGGGGGGGGGC